CCAAACGTCTATAAAGCCCATGTGAGTCAGAAATGCATGCACAAGTTTGTCTTGCCCTCCTTGCCCCTGTGACCTAAGAGAGCCCGTTTTTGAACTTCTGTCGACCGACAGACATGGTACAGCATTAAAATCACCTCCAACCATGAGCACACCAACTCCTAAACTAGAGACCAAAGTTTCAAGAGTAGGCCAAAAGATATGGCTGGTACGTTGGGAGCGTTCACATTTCATATATGGATTTTCGGATTGTAGAGGGCACCCATAATATATAAGTAACGTCTATGGGTCCACCTGGATTACCATAACTTGGAGAGTGCATTTTTAAGAATCAGAACAGCTACCCCTGCCCATTTGAGCATCGTTCTTGTCTAATATATGTCAGTAAATAATCTGTCTTTCAATCTGACAGGTGCTGACCCTGAAGAAGTGCAATATCAACTTTTTATAGTTTTCAATTCTCTCAAAAGCAGTCTACGTTTTATGGAGTTAAGACCTCTGACATTAATAGATAAGACTTTCAACGCCATACTGCAAAACTGCGTAATGTCAGCAAACTTGGTAATTTGGGTGGTCTCATTTCGTCCTGCAAAGGGCTAAAAAGGAAGCAGATCGGGAGCCAGGTGTCTAACCATGTTCCTCAGCACCGCAGACAGTACCCAAGTGAGAAACTGGAAGTTGGGAGTTTTAGAAAGTAAGATAGAAAAGCAGAGATAAAGAACAAAAACATAAGAATCTTACACTTCACAGGGATGGAAACTCATCGCACCCTTCTAATGCATGTCAAAGCACATAAGTCACAGTAACTCTAGACTTTATGTAATACAACATCTACACCCTGTTCCAAATTATTATGCAAATGATATTTTTCTCATTTACCTAAATAATTGATGTAAATAACAGTCAGCATAATTCTCATGTTATCAACTATTAAGAGTACAATTCAATTTTTATTGAACAAACCTAATGATAATAGTATTTTCTTTAAACATAAAAAAGCTTACAATGCACTGTTCAAAATTATTATGCACAGTAAGTTTCTAAACACTTTATAGGTTGTAAAGAACTGAAAATTGTCATTTGTTGTGTTTGCAGCATATTTACTGAAATCAAAAGCTATTTCAATCAAACTTATAACATTTTAACTTTTTACACATTTTAACAGGTCATGTTACATTTTAACATAGGACCCCTTATTTGATAGCAGCTTCACAAGTCTTGCATCCATTGAACTTGTGAGTTTTTGGACACTTTCTGCTTGAATTTGTTTGCAAGATGTCAGAATAGCCTTCCAGAGCTGCTGTTTGGATGTAAACTGCCTCCCACCCTCATAGATCTTTTGCTTGAGGATGCTCCAAAGGTTCTCAATAGGATTGAGGTCAGTGGTGGATGGAGGCCACACCATGACTTTCTCTCCTTTTATCCCCATAGCAGCCATTGATGCAGAGGTATTCTTTGCAGCATGAGATGGTGCATTGTCATGCATGAAGATGATTTTATTACGGAAAGCATAGTTCTTCCTTCTGTACCAGGGAAGAAAGTGGTCAAGTCAGAGACTCCACATACTTTGCATAGGTCATCTTTACACCTTCGGGGACCCTAAAGGGGCCGACCACCACCACTGTTTTTCTATCCAATCATTCACCTCAGAACCCGAGTAATTGTCTAGCAATTCATCCACAAAATATAAAGATGGGTGAAAATAGTGGTCATCCTCCTATGGTGACAATCTGGAAGCTCTTCGAATCTCAGGAGCAGAGGTCGCCTTAAATTTTTTAGCTGGAACCTTCCACTTGCTAGCTGTGGAACTAGACTACTTCCAGTGTCTCTTGGTGGATTTTACTGGTTATGTTTGGCGAGAGCCTGAGGAAACACACTTGGCAGTAAATAAGGTTACACTTATAAGCACTTAAAGGAACACTATAGGGTCAGGAACACAAACATGTATATATATCCTATAATGTTAAAACCACCATCTATTCCCCAGGCCTCCCTAAAGATAGTAAAATCTTACTTGTAATCAAGTCTCCAGCTGCTGGCTCTGCCCCGTCTGCCTCTGACCTGCTGACATCAGAAGTGGTGGTCTGAGCCAAACACAATGCTTCCCCATAGGATTGGCTGATACTGTCAAAGAGGCAGATCAGGGCCAGTATAAACCATTCCAGGCCAATCAGCATCTCCTCATAGAGATGAATTGAATCAATGCAGCTCTATGAGGAAGATTCGGTGTCTGCATGCAGAGGGAGGAGACACTGAATGTCACTGTGCAGCACTGCCCCAGGGAGCAACTCTAGCAGCCATCTGAGGAGTGGCCATTGGCCACTAGACTAATTTAAACACTGAACTTTCTCTGAAAAGACAGTGTTTACAGCAAAAAGCCTGAAGGGAAAGATTCTCCTCACCATAAATACAATAAGCTCTAATTGCTCTGGTGACTATAGTGTCCCTTTAATGGAAGAAAAGTATGCTCATAGGAGTACCCTGCAGTATATCAGACAAGAAAAGGGGTTAATTGTTTTGCAAAACTGGGCCAAAGGAAAACAGTGGGGCTCACCCACGAAGTATCAGATGGACACCAATTAGCCCTGACGCAGGAGAAGGTGAAGGGAAGCAGTCTTACTTTGCATTCTTTCATTTGTGTTTGAATATTTTTGAAATCCCACCATGCACATTTTTATTTCTCCCACAGAACGCTATAGAGAGAGAAAAGAAAATGGCAGCTACTTCACAATATCTATAGCCAGTGGAAGAGCATAAGAGTATATTTTGGAGTTTGTTCTCCCCCCACCCCCAATCATTGCTTTAGAGCACGGGTTCCCAAACCAGTCCTCAAGTACCCCCTAACAGTCCAGGATTTAGGGATTACCCAGTTGTGTCTACAGTTTACAGGGGGGAAAAAACAAAAACATTTTAGACAACATACTAATCCCTAAATCTTTGACTGGTAGGTGGTACTTGAGGACTGAGTTGGGAACCCCTGCTCTAGAACATGGAAAGCCAGGAATAAAGCCTAGTCAGACAACCTTACTAGTAAGTGTCCTTGGGCAAGACACCTAACCATATAATTTTACTCTACTGCTAATACCTTTCTAGAATTGTAAAGTGTGCTGGAATATATCGGAGTCATATAATGCTAATAATAAGAGGGCTATATGAAAATATTTTATTTCATGGCATGGTAAGATTCTGATGCGGCTCTTGTTCTAGCTATCAGACATAAAATGTTCTACAAAATTCTTGACAAGATAAAAAAAAAAAAAAAAAATAAATAAATCAGAAGACTCTTATTTCCATTAAACTTCTGATACTCTTAATTCCTCAAGTATCTTCTCTCATTTGCATGATGATTTTAAGTCTAATCTGACATGTTAGATTTGTTCTTAACCTGTTATATCAATAAATATAAGGGAAAAAAGGCACTTCTTTAAGTTTTTTTTGTTTATTCTGGAGATAAAAAAAAAACACTTGACACCAATACAACAGGCAAATTGAATGGTTTATAGTTCAGTTAAGCATGGCACAAGAGCAAAGCCTATAGATGCAACACAGATGTGAGTAAACATTTGTCAGAACGCAACATAGCAAGCTTTATCAAAATATCCTTTACAAACTTAATTCACTAAATTGAGAACTGCGATTCAGTCCTGCAAATGCAGTGTTAGAATAACTCTGGGAAAGGGTTAGCTAATAATCCCTTCTGTCAATTAGGGATCATGAAGGCCCAGAGCTTGTAATAGGAAGTTGATTAAGAGGAACATGTCTATTTATACAGCTGAAGTCAGCCCTTATATCTCAGTTAGACAATCGTGCAGTGGCGGTCTCATTTCAACAAGTGACCCAATACCTTAGAGTGCAGTAATATCTTATCACGGACATTCCACATGTTGCCAAATAATTATTATTTTTTTTAAATTCTTTATTTTTGCACACGATAGGCAATGCAAGAATAATACAACTTGGAGGCTTGCGCAGAAGCCAAAATATAAAACAGCATACTTATAAACATAAAAATAGACATCGGCCCATATGACAAGCCACTTTATAAATTCCATCCAACTTGCCCCCTATCGAGGATTTTGTGTTTTTTTATATAGCTACATTATTTAAATTCCTTATTTTTGCACACGATAGGCATAGCAAGAGCAATATAACTGTGAGGCTTGCTCAGAAGCCAAAATGCTAGAAATCAGACTTGAAAACACAAAATACGACATTAGCCCAAAAGACAAGCCTCTTTATGAATTCTATTCCACTCGCCTCCCATCGATGATGTTGTATCTTTTAGTCAGGCCATGCATCCTAAGAAGGAGCCCTAACTCTATCCATGTCAGGGTGTACTTTAGGCATCCTCAATTCTCCGTCAGTATACTCATGCCTGAGTGAGGAAAGTAAATAATGACAACATAGACTGAGACAATGTTAGAAAAAAACCTAACATGAACCAGAATTACCACGTCCAAAGGTCTCTAAATGCCAAAACAGACAACCACCACAGGATAAACACATGTATATACGCAGCGCAGATGGATGATACGGACCTTTCCCCTTACACTCTTCTTTAAAGGGTGTATTTACAAGGAGTGCCTTATATGCATTTATAATGGAAAGGCAATTATGTGAAATAATAGAGTTTGGGGTTAACAAAAGAAAACAAATGCATTTAAAATAATATTTATTATCTTTGTTCAAAATTGTAAAACATAAGTAACAATACATATGCCCAGAACATAAATCTAACAATTAAATTGACTCTGAAATTAAAATTAATTCCCATTACCATAAAATAAATTTAAAGTAACACAAAGACAAAAGGGCAAAATATACATTGCAACAAGTATAGTGAAATACTTCATGCTGTGTGTTACACACACACACACAATTTGCATTTTTTTCCCCCATACACTAATGGAAGTTTTCTAGGCTCTGATTAACATAGCCAAGAACGCCAAAGGTAGTACTGGATTAATGAAATAGTAAATGACTGATAATTATTTGAGAGACTATTACTTTTCTGTGCAATTATTGATTTCTTTGGTTACACTTTTAAGACATCTTCTTATGGCTTCTTCGAAGTTGGGATCTGCAGAAAAATAAAAGCAAACAGTAACAATGTAAATATTCTCAATTCCTAATTAACCCTTAAAGGGTTACTCCATTGTGGAATTTAATGCAGTATAATAATATACACTGCTCTGTATGTATCTTTTTTAGCCTCTTCAGTAGTCCATCCACGTAGCAAATACCAGTATAAACTCACCTAAAAGATTTTGTTAACAGACTTCTTTGGTCCTACAGCGGTCTTTATGTAAAATCTTTCAGATGTTCAACACACTTGTCAGCAGCCCTGAACATGAACTCAATTCTGATTTTTGGTTCCAGTCATAATAAAGTGATCAAAAAATGCTTGCAGGCTTTGCTACGTAATTACATAAAATTTCTGCTCTTGTTGGGCACTTGCTGGCTAGGATGACACGTCTCCCTTTTGGGCTAACACAATGCCAGCCCCACCCTATCCTGGCAGAATATATGCCAATGTTGGCAACTATCATACAGTGTTAGGTTTTGGTATAAGTGTATAAACAAATGGACTGTCCGCTAATAAATGTAATTTGTCTTATGTAAAAAGTTTTATTTTGGAATAGATTCTCCTTTAACAAAATAACAGATTAAGGAAAGTAAATATATTTGTGATGCTTATTCTATGGCAATGAATGGAAACAGTCTGTTCAATATGACTAACTACACATCTGAGTATTTCATAATAAGGAGCTGGATAATCTAATCTAAAAAACAAACATGGATAGAAGGACTTGTTTTTTTCTATAGGATTTTGGGTGAGGCTAAATGTCCTCATGCATAGTGTCAGGACGCCCAGCGTCAGTTAGGCGACCAAAAGTTGCGTAACAACCCAGTAGCCCCCTTTTGTTACTGTCTGGTAGACCGTTATTAGAGGTGGTATTAACCCTAGCAGGTAATTATTGCAGTCTAATAAAAACTGCAATAATTACCACAGCCGGGTTAAGGGACCTGGTACACCGTGCTAAGACAACTTCAATGAGCTGATGTGGTCTGGGTGTCTATAAAGTCTCTTTAAAATCAGTTTGCTATGAAGAACCAAGGAATTCCTCAATATTGCCACACTGAAAATGTGGAAATGTTAATTCTGCATTATTAATCTCAGCTTTTCCAATCCTGGATAACTTTGATAGATTGAGTATGTTGGGTTGGATCCCTGAGAGCTTAGAAGAGCATCAGTTTAGATCTCACTATTCTTAAAATTATATTATATTGAGAGACAGCGCCAGGTAACTCAGCAACATAACCACTACAAGAGCTGTGGTGAGTGACTTCAGCTGGAGAAAGAACCCTGGGTTGCATCTTATGGAGCGATTAGCTCTGTTTTCTGTGTCACTGAGGATCTTTTTTTCTTATTCCCTGAAATGAGCTTGGATCTAGTCACTAATAGCTTATCTGATTTATAACGTGGTAATACCAGCCTATCATATGTATGGCAATTATCTCATCTACTCTTGCTGTAGATAATTCTGTGTTATGTCTATTTGTAGACATTCTATATCCAGAGTTCTGTAAATACACTGTGCATCTGACCTCTGGATTGTTTTTGTAGACTTGACTTAAATGCTGCCTTCTCAGAACTCTGTATACTCTTTGGATTATGGTTTTGTGTCCAGACCTTAAAGTTTTGTTGCATTCTTCTAGATGCTTGCAACAGAGATCCAGGAGAAACCACGACTACCTCTACTGCTGCTAAGGTAGGCCTGGGCTGGTGAGTTAAGGCCTAAGGTAGGCCTGGGCTGGTGAGCGGTTTCTTAAGCTGCACATATTTTGTATATACTGCGAAAGGCTATCTATGAATGCAGTCATTGTGTTTATGGCGTCTCCAAATAGCCAAACCATAGTCAGTACTACCTGCTTGGATATTCCTTCTTGTCTCCAGCTTTAGCCCTAAATGTTACCTGGACTCCTAAAGATACTACTGGGACTGTATTGTTACAGCATACGTGACTGATTCTTGGCTTTATCAGTGCTATCTGAAAATCTTTATCTTAAAAATAAAAAAAATAAGGGGGACTTGCGTCCATCAAGTTTAGCCTATCACATCTGTTTTGATCAAAAATAAGGCAAAATAAAAAAAAGTGATGTGCTTTTCATCCACTGATTGCAATACCTGCATGGGCCATAATTTATACAAAATACAGCTTAAGAAACTGCACACACACAAAAATGCAGTTTTAAATTATACAAGGTTAGTTAAAATTATATATCTCAGAAAACAGATATGGGGATTGAGTTCCACTATAAAGTGTTTAGCCCACCACTACGTCACAATACCCCAATTTGTCTCCCTTGTTAAAATTAGTGTAGGACGCACCTATATTTGGGTTCTGTGACGTTGTGGGGGGCTTAACACGGGATGGTAATATGGATCTCCATATTTGTTTGATGAGACAGGTGATTTTAAGAAGTGTTGTCAATTTTAAAACTGTATTTGTTTGTGTGTGCTGCCACTTCTTGTGTTTTCTTGAAATCAATGTGTATAGTTTTCGTTTTTATTTATTTTTTATGCTATTCACATGGTTTCATTTATTTGTCTTTTTTTTTTCTAGACTAAAGCTACAACAATTATCTTTCACAGGTTTGATGTAAAAATGTAACCTTTTGTTTAGACAAAACCAGAATGAACCATCTGTGGAACATTAATTGTTATATGAAATCTTCCCAAAGACAGTGAAACACAGGGCATTTGAAATAATGGATTTAATTGACGATTGCTGATTTTTATTTGAGGCCCGTTGTTCAGCCTAATCGTTTACCTGAGAATGTGTCTGATATGCTGTTTAACAAGGCACACATTAGCTCTCCATCAATGTGATGAGGGTTAAGAATATGAGCAGGTCTCTGGGTCTTCTTAAACTGGCTCTCCAGCTCCAGGAAACCTTTATCGCCTGAGAGAATAGTGAAGGGGATTTCCTTTGGTAGCAGCTCATCCATACGACCAGCCTGAAATGACAAAATAACAAAACAAAAAACATACATTATTGTGATGAAAAATCTAATAGATTTAAAAGTAATGCAAAGAATGTGGACAAAATTGAAACAGTTTACTTTGTTGTTTTATCGGCCAGGAGCCCATGTCCATGCTGTACTCTCCCACATGCATGAGTGTACAACACGGATGTCTCTGAATGCTTCTGAGAGACCGTGGGAGCCTTCATAAGTATTATCTTGCAATAGGTGAGATAATTCCTTATTACCACAGCCCTCGCTACCAAAGACTAGGGAGAGGGACACAACTTGATACTGGTATCTCTGCCTTTTGTCAGCTGGAGAATTTAACATAAGACAGAGAAGTTTCTATGATATCTTTTCACTGCATTGGAATTTCAATGAAATTCAGGAATACAAACATGTTCCTAACACTACAATACTGGAATGCAGGATTAGGTCCCTGCCCCCCCCTTCTCTTGGGAGATTAAAAGTAGTTTTATTCTACCCCAGTTGAGGCTGTGGGGCACAACCATCCTCAGGGTGAAGATCAGAGGAAGGATATGTTAGTAGCTGTTTTTTTTGATGGTGTAATTTTATTTATACAATAATATATTGCCTACCATATGTATATCAAGTGATATCACACTCCAGTTCAGCCCAGATACCAGGCATTGCATAGGAGAAAACAAGAATTCTGCTTCTCCTTTCTCTGTACTGACAGAGCTTGTAAAAGAGCCTACAATGACTGACAGGGACCCCAAATAGAAACTCCAGTTTCAGTTGGTGTCAGATTTATACACGGATTTACATATTTTTTCAGACCTCACAAAAACATGCTGAGTAATATTAGAATTTGTGAAAAGCGACAGTTATGTTTTCAGAAATTATTGCATACTTACATGTAAACAAATAGCAAAGTCAGCAGCATCCTTTCTGTTACTGCAGCGAGGGTGAAGGAAGAAAGAACCCGTGTTGGAAAGACTTTTAAACATTATGCAATTGACTGGGGGTTTCCAGTTGGATTTCCCACCTAAAAAAAAAACATTCTATATTAATGATAAGATTTTAAAAAGAATATATTACTGACTATCCCCTGGCAGGTGGAAGGTTATACGAGGAATTTGAACAATACTTTATTTAATTATCCCCTGGCAGGTGGAAGGTTATACGAGGAATTTGAACAATACTTTATTTAATTATTTTTTTTGCAATTTATAATTTTTATTGTAGCATTGCATAGGGATAACAATATACCGGTTACAAAAATAAAAGCAGAAGATGCCACATTTTGGTTGCAACAGAGTAGCAGTCTATACAGGATAGGGTTGTGTCAATTAAGGGGTACATAATGTCAACTGTAATACGTATGGGTAAAAGTGTCACCAGCTATCCTATGGTGATAAGGCAGAGCTAGAAGGGGCAGCCTAAGTCGCAATAATTTGCTGTGATTAACATAGTCTACTGAGAGAGAGACAGCATGTACCGTCAATTATAGGTTGCACTATAAAAAGGAGATAGCAAGTACACATCATTAAAACACACGCTTCCATATGTGGGGTGGAGGGTATGCACTCATCAGGAGGTCTTTACTCAACATCCTGATATGCTACGATGCAACAAAGGTAAGTAACGTTAGTCATGGTACATATTTAAGCAATGGTAAATAACTAAAGACAAGAACTTGTGCAAGCCATCTGAACTCCAGGAACAAATTAGAGTGTTAGAAAACGTAACTCCAACCTGGGGCTGGTACAGGAGCAGTTCATGGTGAGCTCAGGTGGCTGCCGAGGTCAATGCCGGTGGGCTTGTATGCCTGGTTGATCTAGGGTATAATGGTTTAATCTTGCTTATGTCCCATTTCTTAGCTGTAGCAATAGGTTCTGTTCGAGGCATTCACCAGGGATAGGTGCAGTGCGCTGAGGAACGTTTCTGAATCTGATACTTTTGAGATGTGCACGCGTTTTCCCTCATGAAGCATAGATAGTTTGTGCCCCGGACCCCGGAGCGATAAGGGATGTCATTGTCCCTAAGTAGTTGTGTCACTGGTATCATCGACTGTCTCCACAGCACTGTGGACCTGGATAGGTCATTATGAAACGAGAGGTTTGCTCCCTCAAAGTGCATTTTAGATGCACGGGTTGCTGCTTGCACCATTAGTTTACTGCAGGTTGTTTGGAAACATAGCAATATGTCTCTTGGGACCCCCCTCTGGTTCTGGGTATCCTGAAGTAATGATCCACCAATTCTTGCCTTAGCTGAGGTAAGTATGGAGGTCAGCAGACGCCGCAGAAAATGGGGCAATTTGGTTTCATGAGGGACCCCTCGGAGGCGAAGGTTTCGCTGGCGCCTGGCATCCTCCAGAGCTGCCACCCTGCTCTTCAAAATTGCATTGGCTTGTTTGTTTCTGCCGACATCAGTTTTTAGATCACTCTGAGCATTCTGCTGAACGTTGTTTACGTCCTCCATGGCCTGACATAGCTTTTAAGTCTTCTCTGACCAGCGCTATATCTGCTGCAAAGAAGGACTTTAACTCCCAAAGGAGATTTTGCATATTTGCTTGACTCGCTGGAACAACTTCAGGTTCAGATGCAGGCTTGCTCTGAGTTTATTCTTGTCTGAAGGAGTTCCTCATCCTCACTCTCCTCCGATGTAGAGTCTGGGGCTTCCCGCACGGGCACCATTTTGATAGGCCGTGACTTTGGAGTTACCAGCAGTTAGTCTCCTATATTTTGAGATAGCGGGGCTGGTTCACTTTTGCAAAGCTTGGATTTTCGTCCCATGGTGTTCTTGAGCCTTGTGGAGTTAATTTCCTTGTCGGGATTCGGAATCTGAGGTCAAAAAGCTGAGTTTTCCCAGGAGCTCGGGTTATGTGCGTCTATTTCAGTGCATGGTAAGCTCTGCCCCCTACTTTATTTTTTTTAAAAGTAATCTTTAAAAACATTTAATCTGTTTCCCTAAATGATCAAATTTAGAAAATACATTTTAGGGACAGATGCTAGTTAACTGGCTGTGGGGTATGGTGGGAATGGAATAGTGGTCGCTACAATAGCCTGGAGATACCTCCTTTCTGCTTTGATCCTGATTAATTTTCAATTAGTAGACATCTAGGGTTTTTTTTTCTCCTCCTCTCTGTGTAGGAATTTAGACCACTTTCCCCTTTCCTTATCACCACTTATTGATTCTGCTTAATAGCAAGATATCCCTCTATAGTGGAATGCCTGTCTGCCCTATACCTATACATATATACTCTGTTCCTATTTGGGACCCTTTCACTGTGAATAGTATCTCTATGCCTTATGGACTAATAAAGGTGTTTTACTATATTTCTTGGCATGTAAGGTACTTATTTAACCTAAGTTGTACCTATTCCTAGACATTTACTTCCATATGGAGTGAACGCCTTGGATATGGTCTTCATTCCTTTTCTAATTTTAGTAATTAGGGTTATCCCCTGCTTATCTAGAACAACTAGGTGACCTCTTTTTTGACTAGGAGATATAGTCATAGTCCTTGCCCAACTAATGGTAGGAGACACCCTGACCTGTCCCTTGGTCAATATCCTTACTAAACAAGTGATTTCTTACCTTGAAATCCCCAAACAAATGTCCCTTGGTTCAGGAAACCTGGTAGATGAGTGAAAAAACTTGCCCAGTTGTCCAAGTCAAGAAATACAATGTGTGTCATTGTACAAAGGTAGTCCAGATCTGGCAATTCACTATCCACTAGAAAGAAAGGAAAATAAATCAGATTGTAAAGAATCTTTTGGTATAGAGAGAACGTATTTTTTTTTCATTCTGATAGATCTGACCTTGTCAGTAGTCTTTGCACTGCTCTAATGTCATTGTGATTACGTAACTAGGAGTACAGCAGTTGGCTGATGAGGGACTGCTTGGCTTGCCAGGCAAGTCCCCCAAATGTATCTGGACATGGAACTATGCCTGCATGGGAGGCAGGGACAAAAACATTAGAACGTGTCATTACACTCCAACGTCCTGAAAAACCAATGCTTTCCAGAGGTAATGACACATACAAACATTGGTAATTGGTTATTTTTTATATAGGATTAGTGTAAACACGACTAGGAGTACAATACCTGTATCCATCTCCTGTGCTCCAGCAGTCGCACTTGTTTCCAAAGCAGAAGATGTAGGAGGCTCTACCTTCCCAAAATTGCCAGTTGACCTAGTGTTATCTTGACTAACTGACATATAAGAGCTAGGTGTCTTTACTGTCTTTTCTTGTATGGATGGTCCTTTAGCTGTAAATTCGAAGATGTCCTCTAAGATTCCAGGATCGGTTTTGATTTTAGGTTTCAGAAGGAAACAGTGTTCCTCATGATAGTGCTGTTGAGCTGTTACAGCCTTGGCAAAGGTTTGATGACAGAGAAAGCACTTGACAACAAATTCCTTTTTAGCATGTTCCTTATCATCCTTGCAAAGATGTACTTTTAATTGTTCAAGCGATTTAGCTGTTGCGGAACAGAAAGAGCAGGAGTACCACAAATTACCAGTCTTCAAAATCCTCTCCAAGCAGCGAGCAGAGTCTTTTAATCTGTCTTTGTCACATGTATAGGACTGCAAGCAGCCACAGGTCATATGGTCTTTATTTTCAATGAAGACTGATGTTGAATGCTCCTGACTTTTGACAGGAGATGGTTTCTCCTCTGGAACAAATGCATAATCCTGACTGTGAAAACTGTCAAAGTGGTTGTGAAATTCAATCTCTTGCTCAAAATAGACATCCTCACAAAGGCCACAAAAATATTTCATTTTTATATCTCCGTCGTGTTGCTGCTGACTATGTCTGTAGAGGGTCTCTATTTTGTGAAAGTGCTTTCGGCACAGATCGCAGCAGAATTTGTGAAACTGATGTTTGTACGGAGATTTGCAATGTTGTTTAACAATTTCTTCAGACTCGAACATTTCTTCACAAATATGACACTGCCACCTGCCTTTAGCAGATTCAGAGGCTGTAGTGGAAGAGGATGTAGGTGGGTATATGCATTGACTTTGCCCTACTGCAAATGTAGAGGAAGATGTAGAAGGCAATGGCTCCTCATCTACAATGTCTTTCTCAGAGTAATATGAATGTCCTGCATGGCACTCTGCTACATGCATCATTGCATCTTCGAGGCTGTGCATCTGAACATGGCAAGTTCTGCACCAAAACCGAAAGTTACTTAAGTGCGCGCCTCCATGGAAGCGACTCATGTGCAGACGAATGATGGACAAATCATCTGCCATCTTGCCACAGACAGTACATTTGTGGCAAATTCTATTTGCTGTCATGATGTGCTCCCCCACTTCCTGCTCTGTTGAAAATTTTTGATCGCATTCACAGAACCATGCAGTTACAGTTACCTGAAAATGCTCATTCGTGTCTTTTTCAGCTTGGATACCACTGCTAATGCTTTTGTTTTTAGGTATCACCACGACCTTTACTACAGGTTTCTCTTCATCATCATCATCATCATCGATGTGCCTTTTTAGCAGGCAAGCTTTCATTCTAGCATTTGCTGCAGATAAGCAGAAGTCTGAAGCAGTTTTTTCTCCTTCGTTGATAAGACAAAATGCCAAAACTGATTGTGCCATGTTTCTGATTATCTTCACTTTGTGCTTGGTCCTCTCAGCATGTTTTTCAATGTGTTTATCACTCCTTAAAGCCTGTCTACACACAGGACATAATGCTTTCACTTTAAATGTGGCAGCAACTTCAGCTATACTCTTTTCTGAACGTGAAGTGGGACCTGCATTACGGCATCGAGTCCTGTTTGAGATGAGAGGGGAGTTTCATGTGAACATTGATCTTAATTGCTCTACCTGCAGACTTCAAATTCCCATTATCTACAACAGAGTGCCCTATACAAAAAATAAATCAATAAACATCATGCAATATAGGCATTGTTCACTCCATACCAAAAGTAACACGAGTGATCAGTTGAGAGTGCACGATAAGCGCACTCTGCCAATCACTGCCTCAATCTCTGGTATGAATTGGTATGGAGTGAGGTGGAGCATAACTATAACATATAATTTTGGGCCAGGCTGGAGGCTACTGGGGACAGAGCATCTCTTCAAAGCTGTGAGTAAATCATTTAGCAGTGAAGTGGAATCTGGTGTCCAAGGACTCCAGGCACAATAATTGCTCTAATCAGTTTGTGCATACAGTGTTCCTTTAAGTACATTGGCTAGGTTTTGCCTAATACAAAAGCAATTTTTTCTCCACATCCAAATATATATATATATTTGCTACAAAAACAAAAACCTTTGGCAGCTTTCTGCAATGTAGCACAGTCCCCTCACTCCTACTTCTACACAACAAGACTTCTTTATTAGACTATACGTGAAGTATGTACTAAACCAATGAGAAATCGGTGTAAGCCGAGCTGCTGATAGGACTTTTCCCTACAGCCAATAATTGTCCTTTTTATTTGTCTCCATTCTGCTTAACATGGCCTTAAAATGCTATTAAAAAAAAGAGAACAGTGATTGGCTGTGGGGGCAGAGTCAATTCCGCAGCTCAGCATGATCATCTAGGGCAGGGGTTCCCAACCCAGTCCTCAATTACCACCTACCAGTCCAGGATTTAGGGATTACCCTGTTGTGTCTACAGTGTGTTTCTTTATTCTAAAAACACCTCAGACACAACTGAGTAGTCCCTTAATCCTGGACTATTAGGGGGTACTTGAAGACTGGATTGGGAACCACTGAACTAGGGGAAATAATATGGTTTCCCATCTAAGACCTATTCTATTTATACATTAGCCAGTTGGGTGAATTATTTATTTTCAGATTAATTGGGAAAACTACTCATTACTTCATGGGTAAATGTATGAGGTAGTTAGCCATGTATGGCAGCTTATGTGGGCATTCTGGACCTTATCACATTACTCTGGTTGCTATTTAATTCTGGATTTATGGGATCACTTCAGTGTAGGGTTTGCAAACTTAGGAGGACAGGGTGTTTAGTGACTATCCTGGAGACTTTGCAAAGGAAAAGAAGTTAAAAACAAAAAACAAAAACACCCCAAAACAAAAGGGAAAATGCCACTAATTTTGATCTAAATGAATAATCCATAGTATAGCTATGAAAATAACATTAGTAACATGACATCACATTCCTGTGGGAGATAATCATCATAACTGCACTCCATGGTAGATGAAATTACTAGAAGCCCGCTTACTGCATATCACTACCAACCTGAAGTGTGCAGTTAGTGCCACATGAGAGTGCAGTTCAGACTGACAAGACGTGCAAAATACCCGGAATGGAACCTCTTCGCAGAGAGCAACCAAAACTTTCTTTGCATAGGCTGGTATAGGAACAGGGCATGCAATACCCTTTTCATCTGCATAATAAAAAATAAATAAAACATAATACAAAGAATAAAATGTGACAGTCCCTCTTATTATATTTTTTTCTGCAGACAGAGAAGGTACAGATCTTAGGATTAGGTGCCATGGCTTTCAGATGAGGGAATTTTATACAGTTAACTAAAGCTGAATCACATCTAAAATAATGTAAACTGTACTCGAACAAATTCATCACCAGTGTAAGATCCAATTTTTAAAGTGTTTGCTTAACGTTACCAATTGCAAATATTAACTGATACAGACAGTATGAATAGCAATACATTTTGGTTTGCAATTAATGTTATTGAACAAAATAAAAAAATCTTTCTGGCACATATTTAAAGGCACAGTGAACTTTACATTGTGATAATAGTATTTTTAACTGTTTTAGGGCCGAGTACACTTTTTAAGGTGCTGCTAATTTATATGAAATTGTTTTTTTATTGATAGCGACATTAACACTTGCTGGTTAGTTTCATAGGCACAGCATTAAAACCTTTCTAGATATCTGTTCATTATTAGAGCTCTTTGGTATAACTACTTAGGATTGCAGATGACGTGTGACACTGTTAAACAGAACCACAAATACACAACATACCTTGCATGAAGTGATTCGCGGATGACATGTGCTGCAGACATTCATCTCTCAGGCAAAAAAGCAAAAAACATTTAGGACAAGCAAAGCACTGGATGATCTGGGGTGGAATATTGCATTCATGTCCATCAAGCAATTTTTTCTGATGGGGAAAAAAATAATCATCAATAATCAAAGCACAGTGTACTTGAATTGTGAAATGGAAATAATACGCATTGTAATATAATTTACTAAGATTAGCAATATAGAACACTTGCAGTAACCTAAAGGACAAAATAAGAAAGGGATAGTGTAATAATTGTGGAAATGGGAAAGTTCATAAACTACACCACCTTTGGTACTCCATTATGTATCATCAGTCATTCAGCACGGTAAAATAATGAGGCTGCAGCTGACCAACATTATTAAAGCAGTATGTATTAAAAATATAAAAAACTTGGTAACACCTGCCAATTTGGATGTAGTAGAGATCAGTTCATCCTTGCCATTCCATTAATTTCAATACGGACGAGCATATTACATAAAACTCTGCTCATCAGCAGTATATGAGAAGCAAATGTGAATGGAACGTCTGACCAAGCTAATGGTTCCATTTGAAGCTGCAAGAATAAAGCTACAAATGTAACCGTGTGTGCAGCAACGGATCATTAACTGAAATCTTGGAGAGGTGCTAAGAGAGATAAGTTGAACAGAGTGTATTTGGAAATATGGCAATAACAAGCATAGGGACATAGGAGCAGGAAAGGATTTGCCCCTAACGGATGCAAGAAGTTGTTATGGTGCTTGGATTGTGCCTTTAATGTTACACAGTGATTCCTCCTTCCATATTGTCACGCAATGTTCATACCTTTTCAAGGAGATGCTCTGCATATTCTTTCCTAGACGGAAATCGCTTGGCGCACAAAACACAGGCATATAAAGGTACTGGAGCTCCATGAAGAGTGATCGTTGGATCACATGGAGAATGGTCAAATCTTTAGGTAGAGTAAAAAAAAATAAAAAATAAATAAAAAATACAAATTTCACTTGCAATAAAATGCAATAAAGATACATTGGAACAACATGAGGAAAAAAAAAAACAAACACACAATTTGTGTCACTTACATTTAGGATATGTGCTCACTTAAAGGGACTCTCCAGTGCCAGGAAAACAAGAATCCTGCAGTGCCCCCCTCCCTCCCATCTCATGTCGCTGGAGGGGTTAAAACCCCTTCAATGGACTAACCTGAACCCAGTGCCGATGTCCCTCGGCGCTGGGTCAGGCTCCGCCCACGCTTCCTATGGGAATTCCGCTTAATGCTTTCCTATGGGGATTCCGGCGATGCTGGAGGTCCTCATGCATAGTGTGAGGACGTCTAGGGACGTTTAAAACACTTTTGGGGTTTTAAGAAGCCGGAAGCCCCTCTATGGCTATCTGATAGATATAAAAACTGCAATAATTACACTTGCAGGGTTAAGGGAGATGGGAGTTGGCACCCACACCACTCCAATGGGCAGAAGTGGTCTGGGTGTCTGGAGAGTCCCTTTTAAGAGACTACAATAAAACAAAAACTGTAGGGGAGAAGGTGCTTTTCAATATTTGCCAATAGATGGCACAGTACAACACACACTTCAGGTCAATAACAGCCAAAATACCATATTCTCTGAAATGACAATGATTTTTAAATTTTAATTTTTCCACAAAAAGCTAGAACATTTCACCTCAGGTGATAACTGAATATTTGCATATGTTTTATGAATCTTATCATTGGGTATTGAAAATTAGTCTCCGTAATTCAGCTCTGTGCTCTCACACCGTGACTACAAAATTGAGTAAAATTTTACTATATTGCACAGAATGTATACTCTAATGGGAATAAGACCTTGTTCGGTTGGTTTGACTAAAACCCTATTAACAGGTGCTGGTTCTAGGATCTTGTCTTTGAAAAACTTTCCTTCTATTTTGAACAAATATTACAGTAACAATTATAAAGAGCTCATGGCAGGGGGTGGGAGGCATTCTGATGACCAGGGTGCCAAAAATTAGATCTCGAGATGTTGTAGAAATACAATAAACACTACACTACTCTGGCACATATTGTATACCATGAAAGAGAGAGTCGATTTAGTGAACAGTTAGCTTGGGAGGCGCAGAAAATGCAGTTGGGTCTCAATGAAAACAATAGAATTTGTTCAACTGTATAAAATTGCAGATATAGGCATATCAGCCATTAGATGCCTATTTCAGGTGTTATAAACGTATTATACTTTGTTAAATGTTACTTAAATGGACACTAGTCAACAGGACCACTTCAGCTTAATGTGTCTATGGCATGTCCCTGCAACCTTTTACTGTAAACGCTGTCTGTTCAGAGAAAAGACATTGTGTTTACATTGCTGGCTTGTTACACCTCTAGTGGCAGTCATTCAGACGGCCACCAAAGGTGCTTCCTGTGTCAGTGCTGCCCAGTGTAGCATTCAGCATCCCCATTCTGCATGAAGGCACTGAACAATCCCCATAGATATGCATTGATTCAATGCATCTTTAGAGGAGATGCTGTTTGGTTAAGAGCAATGTTTTGCCATACATGCTTAACAGCCTCAAAAAAACATTTGAGTGGCTGAGATCAAAATTCATGATCTCAGTCACGGAGGCAAGGCCAGATGGGGACAGCTGCATAGAGACCGGCACAGGAGAAAAGGTTAGTAAAATCACCTTTAATCTCCAGAGAGAGGGAGGCCAGGGACCTAATGTTGTATTCCTGGCACTATAGTGCGGGAATACATGTTTGTATTCCTAACACTAGAGTGTGCCTTTAAGTTCTTGTGTTTTCTCATGCCATGCAACTTAACATTTACAAAAAGATAAGTCCAGCGCTCACTCCCATCACTCCTGGGCAGCAGCAACAACCACAGTACACATCAGCCCCAATATATACAGTAAAAACCAAAAGAAAAAGTTACCTTCGCTCTCTCCTGAATCCCTATGTATATTTAAACAAATGGAGGTCATTTAGTTACTCCAATGGCCTTTGGAAGGAATGCCCGCCTGCCAACGTAAAGGCAGACCCCCTATGCAACTTAACATTGCAGAACAAAATCCAACAGGTGTTTAACAGCTTCACTTGTGCTATATCAAGACACCTGTATAAATAAGTAATCTTGAGTATTTTAAATTCCTGACTTGAGGATAACGACCCAACTTCATATAGGAGAAAATACATCAATGTGGATTCAGTACACCTAACTGCCATTGGAGTGAAACAAAAAATAAATCCATTTATTTAAATATGCATTGGTTTGGGATATAGTGTGCAAGTGGCTCTTTTCTTTAGTTTTTTTTTTTTTTTCAGATAAAAATGTATGTATTAACTGGACTTTATTATCAAAATGCTTAATATACATTTACTAACATACCTTAGCAGAAGTCCTTGTGCTCTTATTATCATCAGCAATCCTGGGAAATGACTCTGCACAACTTATAAACCAAAATGGATCCATAATGAAATGAAATGAGATTTAAAAAAAATCCTTCGATCCTATATTGGACTTGTAGACTTATTTGTATATATTCTTTTTTTTATTTTTTTTGTGCACCAGTTTAATGATACTGATGTCATTCAAACATTAGAACATTACCCTTTCTACATAAAAATGCACCTTTTTTTTTTTTTATTTTTTTTTTGATTCTGCTTATAATCGAGCTGAATTTATTTATTTATTTTTTTTTTTTCAATTATAAACATACATTGTTTAAATGCTAACATATACAAATTGTAGTTATCCAGTTGAGATCATCTGTCTGGTTACAAATTCAAAATCCTGGTTCGATGTAACATATGGTAAACATGTTTAAAGTATGTAAATATATTAGTATAGTTAAAACCTAGAGAGATACTTTTATATCATCTGAGGCAACTTTCTCTCTCAAACTGTCTTAAGATTTACTTTACCTAGTACATAGGATACCGAGATAATTGTTGTGGGGTATACGAGGTACATGTGATCTGTACCAGCATCGGCCTTATGTCCCCGTTTGGTTTGTACGTTACTGACGCCATGGTCAGCAGTTTTGTGTTAACTTATTGGTTTAACTGTATAGCCGGGATTAGTAGGTCCCTACTTCTCAGCCAGGTCTGTGGCCATCGTACCGCTACGTCTGGGGAGGAAGTGGAAAAAAAAAGGGGGGGGGGGAGGTAGGGCTTGCGCTAATTACCGTTGAGTGTGCACTAGGAGGGCCCTTGACCGTCCGGGTTCCGTAGGGTTATGGATTTGCCTATGTAGTTTGACCAAGGTTCCCATGTGGTTACATAATGGGCGTATTTATCGTTTAGTGAGGCTGTCAGTTCCTCCATAATCCGTATCGACTCTACTTTCTGAAGCCATTCTCTCATGGATGGGGCCTTGGTGGCCTTCCATTGTATCGGTATGAGGAGATTGGCTGCTGTGAGCATGTGGGTCAGTAAGACCCTCTGTGGTTTGGTAATGGGGTCTGAGTATAGTAAGAAGAGCATTGTCTCCGGTTTGAGTGGTATGTCCCTCCCTATAATATTGTTGATGATTTCCCGTACTCTCTTCCAGTAGGATTGTATGGTTGGACAGTGCCACCAGATGTGAGCTGTTGTCCCTCCTGTTTGTCCACATCTCCAACAAACATCTAGTGCGTTTGGGAATATCTGGTGGAGTTTGGTGGGCGAGTAGTGCCACCTTGATATTCTCTTGTATGTGCTTTCTTGGATAGTGGTGCTAATGGAGGATCTCTGAATGCCCTGGAGAATGGTGCCCCATTCCCCCTGTGTTATGTTGATAGAGAGTTCCCTATTCCATGTTTGGGTGAACTGTGGCAAGTGCCCTTTCTGCTCTCCTTGGAGCAACTTATAAAATATCGACAGATGTTTGGTTTTGAGGGATTGGAACGTGCAATATGTTTCATATGGCGTATACGACCGAGAGCCTGTTTGTAGTGTTCGAGTGGATCGTATGAAATGGGTCAGTTGCGCATACCGAAAAGTCTGGAGCGTCGTGGGCTGGCTAATTCCCATTAGGGTGTCGAGTGGTTTGACTGAGTTTCCTTCCAAGACTGAGTGCAGTCTCAGATAGGGCGTCTTTTGAGGCAATTTTAGGAACTCAAATGCCCGGTTCGGTAGCCCTGGTTGGAACAGCGGATTTCCTGTCAGGGGGTATAGAGGGGACGGGTGGGGGGATATTGAGGTCCTCTGTCTCATGCGTGTCCAGGTTTTGAGTGTGGGCGTAATGGTGGGGTGGCTGGACTGGTGTGGGGATAAGAATGGAGAGCCAGTGCTGTGCCATGGAATCCCGTGGAGTGGGGCTGTAAAGAAGGATTTCTCTATTTGCACCCATTGTAGCTGCGGGCACGGGTTGGCCCATTCATAGATCCTCGTGAGAATGGTCGCTGTGTGGTAGAGCTCTATGTGTGGCATCCCCAGGCCGCCTTGGCTTTTGGGTTTCGTGAGCGTGTTAAAGGCTATCCTGGGGTGTTTGGATGCCCATATAAATTTAGTGAAGAGGTGCCGCAGTTTGAGAAAGAAAGATTTAGGGATGTGGATTGGGAGTGTTTGCAGAAGGTATAGCAATCTTGGGAGCGTGTTCATTTTTAGAATGTTGACACGGCATAGCCATCCGAATTGGGGCTTGTGCCATTTGGTCAGATCTGTTTCAATCTGTTGAAGGAGTGGGAGGAAATTGATTTTATATGTGGTTGCGAGAGTATGTGGTAGGTGAACCCCTAAATATTTGATGTCTGATTTGGCCCACGTGAATGGGTATTTCTTCTGCAGTGTGGTTTGTAATGGTTGGGAAATTTCCAAGGGTAGGATTTCGCTCTTGGCAAAGTTAACCTGGAAATTAGATAACTGATTGTAAGCATTTATTTCCCCCAGAAGCGGCTGCATGGAGGTGCTAGGTGAGGTTAGTGTAAAGAGTAGATCGTCAGCGAATGCTGAGATCTTGTATTCCTGATGTCCCACCCGGAAACCTGTGATATCTGTGTTGTCCCTGATCCCCTGTAGGAACGGTTCCATTGTGAGGATGAAGAGGAGCGGGGACAGGGGGCACCCCTGTCTCGTGCCGTTTCGTATGTGCACTGGGTCTGACAGTTGTCCATTGATTTTAAGTTTAGCCGTGGGGGCAGAGTAGATCGCACTGAGCCATTTGTCCCAATTGGGCCCGAAACCCATTGCTTGCATTGTGGCTCTGAGGAGGGACCAGTCCACCCGGTCGAATGCTTTTTCCGCATCGACCGAGAGTAAGAGGCTGGGTATGCGTTGAGAGTGAGATAGGTGGATGATGTTTAAGAGCTTTGTTGTGTTGTGTTTTGCCTCCCGTCTCGGGACAAAGCCCGCCTGGTCTGTGTGTATGAGTTCGGGTAGCAGGGGGCGCAACCGGTTTGCAAGAATTTTAGTAAAAATTTTTAGGTCCACATTAATTAAAGATATTGGGCGGTAGCTGCCACAGCTTGTGGGGTCCTTTCCTGGCTTAGGTAATAGCGTGATATGTGCCTCTAAAGCTGAGGTAGGGAAACATGGGGCGTTGATGAGAGAGTTAAATGCATCTAGGAAGGGGTCTGCTAGTATGTTCTTGAATGTTTTAAAGTATTTGGCCGTGTACCCATCTGGGCCTGGGCTTTTCCGTATGGGTAGGGAGCCCACTACTCCCAGGAACTCGTCTCTCGTCAGAGGACCGTCTAGGGTTTGTAGCGCTCCTTCTGGGATCTTGTGCCGCACCCTGGGGGTTAGGAAGCGTTCAATGTCCGCTGCCGATGGGGGGGGCGCTCCTAAGGTTGTATAACTCTGAGTAAAACTTATGAAATGCGTCCATTATGTCAGGAAGGGCGTGAGAAATACCTTTGTCAGGGTGTTTGACCTTCGCTATGAATGTTGTTTGCCTACTTTGTTTTAGTGCGGAGGCTAAGAGACGGCCGCATTTGCCTCCATAATAAAAATAGGAGTGTTTGGTGCGTAGCAGCGTACGTTGGACCCGTGTGTTTAACAGTTGTTGTAGCTCTGTGCGTTTCGCGAGCAGTGCCTTATATGTCTGGAATGAGTCTTTGTTGTGGTGTGTTGCCTCTAGAGCTCTTATATCCTCTGTGAGGGTTTTGATTTGACCCTCCCTCTTTTTTTTGTGTGTGGATGCGATGGCTATGAGCTGTCCCCTTAGTACACACTTATGTGCTTCCCATGTCACAGGGGGGGAGGTCTGTGGCGAAGTGTTTTCTGTGAAGTACTGTTGAATGGAGTTGTGTATCTTTTTTATCACTACTTTGTCATTTAGTAGTAAGTCATTTAATTTCCATTGGTATGTTTTCAGGGGTAGAGAGGGTATGTGGACGGCAAGAGACAGGGGTGCGTGGTCAGACCATGTGATAGGGCCGTATGAGCACGATGACATTAAATGCAGGAACCTGTGCGGTATAAAGAACATGTCTAACCTGGAATATGTGTGGGTTGCGTGTGAGTAGTATGAATAGTCCTTCCTATTGGGGTGACTTAGTCTCCAGCAGTCATAGAGTTGAGCGCTGTCCAGGAGACGAGAGAAGTGTTTACGGAGAGAGTCGTATCTGTTGGGGGTGGCCGATGTAGTGTCTAAAGCAGAGTCTAGTGACATGTTGCAGTCTCCCCCCATTATGAGTATGCCCTCTGCAAAAGTGTCTATCCAGCGTAGGCATTTTTTAAGGGTCTTGCATTGGCCGGTATTAGGCATGTACATATTTACAAAGGTGATTTTATTTTGTCCCACGGTCCCCTTTACTAGCAGTAACCTCCCTGAGTCGTCCGTTTTCTGGTCAATGAGCGTAAAAGGTACTTGGGCGGATATTAATATGGCCACTCCTCTGGTTTTTTTCTCAGCGAAATGTCCAAAATAGTTTGTGGGATATCTGTTGTTTCTCAAATTGGGGGCTCTATCTTTTTTGAAGTGGGTTTCTTGGAGGAACGCTACGTCTGCGCGCAGTCTATGTAGCTCTGTAAGGGCTAGGGATCTTTTTTCAGGGGAGTTCAATCCCCTTACATTAAGGGTGATTATACGTAGGGTAGTCATTGTCTGTCTGGTACCTTAGGGTTATCTAGGGTTAGCGTCGTGCCTCCACCCAGCGCCTGGCCACAGACCTGTCTGTACAAAGATAAGCAGAGAATCTCAAGCAAAGATGCACTAGAACAAGACAAATAATTCAACTTCAATGAACAATCAATGAGTAACACAAACTTCAATTGTAACCTGCACCTGTGCCAGGTGCGTGAGTACCTGTGGTAACTGTCTCAGCCGAGATGGTCTATCTCTCCGAGAACCTATATGTCACCTTGGTGTAGGCCCTATGGGCCTAGGTTCAGTTATCTACTGGTATAGGCATGCGTATAGCCACACCTATATTTTTCCACGTATTATCCTGAGGGGGCGGAGGGGGTGGTTGACCGCAGGTCTACCGTGTGATAGAAAAATAAAATGGGGGGTCCGGTTGGTCGCTATCCCAATCGGAATGAGCTCCGCTTGGATTGGTTTATCTAGTTGTATGGGCGGATGGGTGTTGGAGACTGATGACCTCAGCTATTAAGCCTGGTGCGATGGGCCTCTTCCCCACTGCCTTGTCGTCTGGCCTGGGATCTGCGTTGGTATGTGATAACCTTCAAGTGGGCGGTAGGTACCCTGGGGGGGGAAGGTCTTCTGGGGGTCCTATGATGGTCCTTAACAAATATGTAGGCTTTTTTTTTTTGAGAGTTGTGTATTTAATTTAATTTTCCCCCTCTTTCTCCCCTGATACCCTCCTTCGTCTATGGGTTCGGTGACTTCCCTGTTTTGGGATCCCTGAAAGGTGGGCCTGGGAGTGTAAGGCAAAGAGTGTGGGGGGAGCCTATAGGGATGGTTCTTTTAAGTTATACGTGCCTATGGACATCTACAATCTACCCTGTGTACAAAGTTGGGCAGTCAGGCACTGTGGTGGATTGCCTCGTGGGGCACATACTTATAGCTGTTCCAGGATTTAGGGACTAAGGATTGATGAAGGGTAAGAGCAGCACAGTCATTGAAATACATATTACCCGCCCTTGCGATAGTCTTTCGTATATGCCTGTGGTTCTTCCTTGCCGTCTGCCTGTAGCTTGGAGGATAATTAAGAAAGTCTCAGTGATGCGTGAGGCGATGTCTCTGTAGTTTTGTCCGGTTGCATCGTCTTTCAGATTTGAGGTAAGTCCCAGACAGTCCGTAGTGGGTATGATTTTTTTTTTTTTTTTTTTGTTTCTTTTTGCTGTGTGCTCGCATGAAAAAGTCACTACTCACAGAGTCTTGTTTCTTGTAGGCCTTCATCCCAGGTTAATGCGTCTTTGGTCATAAATGGTTATGGAACCTTTTGCGTTCAGGTATTCAGCTGTCTTGGGTGGTTTGCTTGGCTATTGCCGTCGTGCGGATGACGGTCTTATGTCTCCGTGTGGCAGGCCATCTGTGCCTTCTGTATGTCTCTTTCTCGTTTCCTGCTGTCCGCGGGGGCGCTGGGGTGTCGGAGGCATCCCAAAGGGTGGCGTCGGGCCGTACCAGTCGCTGATGTGTATCATAGGGAGGTCCAGGGCCCTCTGGAATACTGGGACATCTTGTATGGTGTGGATGCTGTGTTGGTTGCCATTGATCGTGGTACTTAAAGCAAAGGGGAAACCCCACCTGTATCTGATGTTCCTCATCCTCAGCTGGTCTGTGATGGGTTTCAGTGATCTTCTGGCTTGAAGTGTAAGCCATGAGAGGTCTGGGTATATACTGATTGGGTCACTGTGAAATAATAACGGCTGGTTGGAGTTCCGTAGTGCTGCCAGAATATCTTCTTTGCACCTGTAATAGTGTAATCTGCATATTACATCTCTAGGCCTGTCGGTGTTCAGGCTCCTAGGACGCAGGGCTCTATGGGCTCTGTCAAATATTATGGTAGAGTCAGGTGCTCTGTCAAGGATTAGGTTAAATAGCTCAGTGAGCACTGCTATAATGTCTTCCTTGTCATTTTCAGGGATGCCTCTCACTCTCAGATTATTCCTCCTTCCCCTATTATCTAGATCATCTAGGGAACGTTGTATCTCTGTGAGCTGGGTTGTGTGGGCTTTCATATTGTCTTGGAGGGATTGTATTTGTGTTTGGGTGACATCCCTTTCATCTTCCAGTGACCCAATCCTGTCCCCCATGTGGCGCATGTCTGCCCCTAAGGCGTCTAGTTTGCTTTGGAAGGACATCTCCAACTTACCCAGCATGTTCGCCAGGTCTTGTTTGGACGGCATGTTGCGGAGGAGGTCCTTAATTTCAGTGTCCCCGGTCGCCCCGGACATTTCTGAGCCTGCTGGGCTGGATGGCTGGGAGTTGTGGTAAGGTGAGTCCGGCGCCATGTTTGGGCCTATACCGCCCGGCTGGAGTTCCGCATTGTCGCGGAAATACTTGGTGAGGGCCCCCGGTTTCCCCGCCGGCTGCTTACCGGAGGGGTGAGGGGTAGATGCTGCTCTCTTTGGGTGTCCCATCGTTGTTTTAATCGCCCGATGCCCGCGGATTCACTCCTTCATGAGAGGAGCTTGTTTATCTTGCGGCCATTCCGTTCCGTGGTTGGCTCCGCCCCCCTTTTCTTTAGTTTTCATTTTATTTATTGGAGCTAATGTGTACTATGAGTCTGAGCACAGAACTTATTTTTGTGTAACTGGAAATATATAGATGTTATACATGCTTTTCTTAGATTATACAAATAAAATATTCACATTGTGCTGGAAAGGGTCCAAAAATGTGCTTCTCTAAAAGTGCAGAGAAGTCTGTAGGTTTCAAATAATTTTTGTTTCTTACTGTGAAGTTCAAATGGCAGGACAAGATTAAAAAACACACTGCATGCTTACCTTTTCAGATGTCCCATCAACAGTTGTCCATTGTCAAATGTTCTTTTGCAGTGCATTATGGGGCATATCATTTGCTTAGTAATAGGGGATGCTCGCTTACACTCTGGTAAAGGTCTACGGCTGGCGCTTACGACTCCTAACTTGAGACCTGTATTATTGAAATAGATACAAATAAAAGTATTAAACCAAAAATAGTGATGGGCTTTCACTTTAAATTTTGTTTCAAACTAATTATTTTACTTTCCCAGAACAATCCTTCCACTTCACATGTACATACGGAGAAACCCATTCGAAACAATAAAAGGAGTTTTAAATATTTTTTTAAATAAACATCAAAACAACCAAAGGAAGTTACATTTTGTGGGAGGCAGAAAGAGTGTTCAGAAGTTGGAGGGATGAAGTCTGTGATAAGAAGTTAGCCCAACAGTAGATGAGTTGGATTTTAAATTAAGAACATTACACCCAATAGGGTTAAGTGCAGAATTTGAGATTTGTCCCTTTTAAAAATAAAATTTGCAACGCTGTCATGGCTGCGTCCGTTTTGTTTCTTTTAACCCCCCCCCCCCCTCGACTCTACTAACTCTAACTGCCCTCTAGTCACCCCCAAATACTCCATTTTACCTATTTTATTTTAATTTTTTATCGTATTTCGTGCTCGGACCTAAGATGAGGCCCTGTGGGACACGTCATCTGCACACACTAGATAGCGCTATGAAATTCGTGCTCATGCCCAGTTAATCATTGGGGCATTCGCTATTGTCCAAAATTCGGAAGTGAATTTTGTATATTCATTCGTCTGAAAGACGAATTAATATAATTTCAGACAAACAACCAACCACCGAATGTCGGTATTGTTCGTTTAGTTTAATACAAGGAGGAAGCTACCGGCTCGCAGTTCCCTCCTTGTAATATGTAAAAATAGAAGCGGCAGGGAGCTGTGCTCCCCGCATCTTCCAAAGCCCCCAATGCTCGCCATCACTATGACCCCCATATTAGCAAGAGGGAGATTGAAATCGCCCTAATGCCCCTACTCGCTACAGGCTGGCTACCAATTTTGGTCTTTCAGCCTTTTGGTACATAGCTCCCTTATACTGTGGGACTTAGCGAGCCATCTACTAAGCTGCAAGTTGCAGCCGCAGCACGGATCGGAATTTTATTCATTCGAATAAAATTTCAAACCAACCTAAAACTACTGAATGTCGTCCTAGCACGAATGGACAAACTGTTCTCATTCTGCTAGGATGAAATTTTCTAGTTTTTGCCGGCATCCTGTCTATATGACAGGATGTTCAGGAATACTGATAGGAAGCATCGCAAGATCACGAAGGAAAGGGTGGGTATTGTGGGAAAATGTATTTGACCCACAGGAAGTGGGTCAGAGCGGCTCAAGCGTAAGAAATATACATAAGACAAAGTAGTCCCTACTTTGTCTTATGTTTTAAAGAAAACTAGATTAGATAGGAAGAAACTGAGAACACATCCCGAGAGAGGGAAAGAAGAGGAAGCCGAATGTAAGTTCGGCATGACAGTGCCGCTTTATTGACATAAGATTTTAATATATTTTCCTTTTTTTTCTGTGAAGGAGTTATTTTATGCGATATTTGATTAAATGTGATCATACGTCCTTGTGATTATTACTGTGATATATCCTTGCCAAAACAGACATGTGGGTGAGCCTGTAAAAAAGATAGCAAAAATATTTACTAAAATCTAGACCGTAGTTTAAAACCTACCAACATGCCTAGCCACTGGAATGCACAACTTAAGGACATTGTAAGTCAGCGTATATAAGATTGTGTCTATTTAAAGATATACCATAGTCACCAAACAACATTAATCTTAAACTTAATTTAATTAACATTTTTAGACTGTATGCACCAATCCCTTTGAGCACTTGTATATAGCTCATCTGTCAGTATGGGGCCAACAAAAATGGCCCCAGCTGAAAGAAAGGAGCCCCAGGTATCTCTTGATACCCGAGTTTCTCTGGCATCAGCAGGGATATAACCTCACTCACACCAAATGATATCTCCACGGGTGGTTTATCAGACTAACCTGTAAGTAACTAAATCATAATTTCAAATGTTGCTCGGTTAAAAAAAAGAATTATAACATTTTCTATTATCCATATTGTTGACTTTACTTTTTTCACATGCAAATCTGTATATTGTAGACACATACAATTACATGAACATAATACTGAAAATATAATTGAACACCTATAGCTCGAATAAATGATGCCTTGTGTAAAGTTTACCAAACAACAATCTTTCATTGGTCCTTTTTTTTTGTTTTTAAACCTTACCTGGTGCTTTGAGCCAATGGTTTACACAATGTCTTGCATCTCTTGCGGCAGGACTATCCTTGATAACTGCTAGCTCTTGCAAACCATGGACACGTTGGATGTACACCTTTTCCTAAATATGTGAATATAAATATCCTTATTAAATAGCACAATGGAAAATAATTTTAATAGTATAGTATGCTAACAATCCTTTGAACACCGAGCACGGTCAGTTACAGGTTACCAAACCCAGTGATGCCCAAGGATCATATTACGAACACTAGATGGTTTATTTCTATGCCCATATATGCTAGCAAACGGATTCCTGGAGAACAGCGTTTTTGTTTTGTTTTGTATAAATCAAGTTAAACACTTGTTTTCTTGCAAGTCAGTGACATTTTAGATACAAACCAGCACATTATATTTTCATGGAGGTTAGTGACATCCAGGACATAAATCTGTCTTTGCTCAAGTCTGAAGTTCGAAATACTGACCTCTTGCAACTAAGTCCTAATTTAATATTGTTGGATAAGCTTTCCAAACAATTTAATATTTTTGGATACGTTTTATAAATAATTAACATATTAAATATTTACCAAACATAAAAATAAATATATATTAAACTATATAAATATGTATTAAAAATAAATAATTTATATATAAATAAAATAAAATTACAGTTAGTATGTTTTTATACTACCAAATCATTTGAAAGTTTTTCGAATTACACTTAAGGTATATACTAAAAGAGTATGTCACCATAATATGGCATATGCAAATGATCCATTGATCTTACCTGGAGTTACGACTAGTCCATTGCAAAATATCAAAATGCTATTAAATAAGACAGAATAGTATGCTAAAGCATTTCGTTCTCTCTGTGCCAACTTCTTCAGGGAGAGATGGCACACCTTTTCCCCTAAACAAGTTGGCACAGAGTGGACAAAACGAATTGCGATGCCATGTTGTAAAGTGCATTTTGAATCAAAGTTACTGTACATTACACTATGTTATGTTTTTCTCTCCATTTTTATGTTTGAGTGAATCTACATTGGAAGGCACATGAATCTAAGGTCTATAACCCTAGATTTGGAGGTACGCCTGAAATTTTCTGAATTTTAAGAGTCCAACCTAATCACCTGGTGTTTACACAGTATTAACACATGTGTGTCTTTTTTTATATCTGTAGATTCCATTTTGTTTTGTAATAATTCCCCTAGATGACAAGAAAAAGCTCAGAATTCACACATTTTGAAGAAATCAAAACAGAGGGCTTAACGAACTGACATTTCTTTTGAAGGCACGTTTAGAAAAATGGGAAAAGAGTATTGCAATCCAACAACTTTGTTATTAATATTATATATTAAATGGCTACCATTTGTAACTGGTAAAATAAAGTTCAACAACTTGTTTATTCCATAGAACACTGTATATTCCCTACAAAGGTTCCATACGATCCATGAAAGAATTACACACAATAAACAATGAATAAAAGCAATCTTAAACAGTATGTGACACATGTAGAATATTAACCATTATTGCTCACATGAAATGCTTTGATTTCTTCCTCCCTTTGCTGCTGTTTTATTTCTACACGGCGTGCAAGGCGTTCCAGTGTCGAATTCACTTTATCCTTCTGACGGTCAATATGGTCCTTAATTCTCACCTTGAATCATGCAAGCAAACGATAAAAACTGCTTTTCAACACGTGGCTATAACTTACAGTATATACAAACAAAGATTATTAGAATTAATGTAGATTACTAGCAGCACTCGTTACACTTTCTGATGGGTAATTACCAGAAAATACCTGAGCAGCTGAGAAGACATCATCATCAAATATACAGAGTATACATCAAATATAATTTATTGTAAAGTCATATCCCAAACATTATAACTTCTACTTACTGCAAAAGAAAAAAATAGGACTTAATTTTATATGATAAAAACAAAACTATTTTATTCTGGGGTGTAGGACCAGACTGCCATGCCGACAGGCCGCATGCCCGAGCAGCTCCTGGGGTCTTCGACTTGCAGAGCTGAAATTTAACGGAGCTTGACCCTATCTGGAGCCAAAAAGCGGGGAACTGCTACTTGGAAGATGGCCCAAATCTGGGAAATCTAAAGCCTGAACCCATATAACGAGACCTCTGAAATTGAGGCCTAATCGAGTGAGGAGCGAGGTGGACAGCCACCCCCTCACTTCCTTGCTGCGAGGAGGGGCTGCTAAACATGGCGAGCTGCTTCCTGATCACACCTGGAGCTGGGAGTGTGAGACCGGAGGATCCCCACTGGCTAAGCTGATCATCTCCTTGGACCTGTCTCTGGTCGGACCCCACAGCCCACTGAGTTTATCCTGTCTAGGCATAGGCTGTCATTTTGTTAAATATTGTATTTAAGCATACATTAGGCTACTTAGCTCTTAAGAGTTGCCATACCGATTACTATTGGTTTCTACCAGCTCCCGTGATGGCAGTTAGCGAGTGCGCGTGCCTGGCAGTGAGAAAGCGCGTGCCTGGCAGTGAGCAAGCGCGCGTGCGTGACATGAAGGGGCTGCAAAATGGATCTTTGCCTAGGGCAGCAGAAATCCTTGCACCGGCCATGTCTAGCATAGACAAAAATTTCACCATATATATGTGCTGGCGGTCTTTCTAGCCAGGCCGTTGATAATCTTGCAGCATTACTTGGATTCTCTTGTAATTTCCTTACAATGGCCTTAGCTTAGGCGACAACATTTGTTTAGTACCCTATCAAAATGAGCATTCTTCTTGACATGATATAGAACAAAAAAAGAAGAGGAGCCAATAATTTAGCAATTATATTGTAAAAGGTACCTTGGAAATCTATGACAAAAATGGGGGATAACCCCTAAATAGTGAATTCAAATAGAAAAAACAAACTAATAAATAGGTCTCCAAAAAGTGTCTATTTATGTGAGAACGGGCATTTGCTAAAACTTAACTTTTATTATTCTAAATAAAATAGATACAAAAGATATGCCTAAGTAAAATATGAAAAAATAAATGAATATATACTAGATAGTTGCCACAATTATGGGGCAATGCAGTATTATATTCACATTAAGTACCTAAACGTGATCTGTCCCTCAAGTGGAGAATAATAAATGGTGGCATAAGAAGAGTGTGAAAAATTAGCAACTGTTACTCTAATTGTGTATGTCTGCAATCCTAAAGATCTATAATAGCAACTAAATAATTGGGTCTTCACAGTGAAGAGGCGAAAAAGAAAGGAAAAATAATAACAACAATAAGGTTTAGCCCTAATCTATAAAAAGAATCAGGCTAATGTGCCTTCGAGGGCACCCCATACCCCAAAAAAAATATTCTCTCACTAATAGCTCCGCATCCCGATCTTATGGAGCGACTATAGCATAGGTAAATTGTTAGATCAGTAGTTGACTGCTGAGCTAACTGGATTTGCGCACCAAACCTACTGTTATATGTGAAGTGCTTACTTATTTATATATACTAGTAATAAATAAAATAAATAAGTAGGCCGGCGCTAAGGTGGCCGTGGTAAATGTCAAATTTCCCTAATCAAATTATTAAACCATTACTGAAAGCAAAGAGGATTATTGGTAGTTAACTCTATGACATACTAAATGAGGGTATACTCACAGGTTGATCTGATCCCTCAGAGTCTTCATCACAACTGAGGTCAATGTAATCCAGAACAGGTCTTGAAGGGCCCTCCTGTGTACAAAATAAAAAACGTGTAGAATCTATATACTTGAACTCAAAATCATGAGTTGTGTTTCCACTCAATGCTAAGACAAGGTCACTAAAAGAAATGTAACACAAAAGATAAGTTATTCCGATATGATATGGAGAACATCAGTTTTCTGTTCATCTGAGGTTTTGCCAATAGAAGTGCAGTAGCATCTGCACAGCTTATTCTCCCTTATGACCTGCTTTGTAATGACGTGACATCATATGCCACCGTAATAATATGGGGGATTTATGTTGATCAGAAGAGCTGTCACAAAACACAAGGGTTAAAGTAGTCTCTAAAAGTGGTTATATAAAAATAGGGAACAGTTACAAAAGTTACACACACACACACTTCTGCTGTGCAATATGCTCCTTCATGAGTTGTGACAGAGCAGATGCTAAATCCTATCACCAACTTAAAGGGGCAGTTTAGGCACCATAAACATGTAATCTAAATGAAGGTGTTATGGTGTCTTATGATGTCAGGAGACCACAAGCTCACTCTTACCTTCCCAGAGTTGCCACCAGCTCTGATCTCCATTCCCTCCTCGCCTTTCCCCCTCCCCAGGTGGCATCCGGCTTCTGAAATTTCAGTTTCAGGAAGCTTGGAATACATTATGTATTTACATAGGTGGACTCCCGACAAGGAACAACAAACCACTAACACAATAATCTGTGCACTGGTTACACATTCAGAGAAGAAAAGTTTTTTTGAATGCAGACCTGATTGCTAAAGATACGCCCATTCTAAAATACACAAACATACAAGATTTATTCACAAGACTGAATTGTGACAATATGACAATTCAGGATAAAATAGACAAGCTGGGTCTATAACAGAGTTCCAAAGAACATTGCAAGCACCAGACCCCCTACAGCTATATACAGTTACTATGTATTTTAGTACTTATTAAAGGACCACTATAGTCGCCAAGACCACTTCAACTCAATGAAGTGGTCTGGGTGCCAGGTCCCTCTAGTTTTAACCCTGCAGCTGTAACCATAGCAGTTTCAGAGAAACTGCTATGTTTACATTGCAGGGTTAATCCAGCCTCTAGTGGCTGTCTTCCTGACAGACGCTACATGCGTTTCCGCAACGCTCAATGTGAAAAATCACATTGAGCACGCAGAAAGTCCATAGGAAAGCATTGAGCTGACGTTGGAGGGGTAGGAGAGGTCACCAGCGCCGAGGAAGCCTGTCGCTGGATTATGGTAAGTGGCTGAAAGGGTTTTAACCCTTTCAGCCCAGCGGGAGGGGGGAACCTAAGGAATATAGAGTCAGAAAAATAAGTTTGTTTTCCTGGCACTATAGTGGTCCATTAATGAACAATGAACAATTAGAAACTTACACCAACAAACTCAACCTCATCTTCGCAAGGACTCTCATCAATCAGCATTGTCTCCTGTTCACTGAAGTCTTCTGCATCCATTATCTATGGAAAATAAAGAAAAGTTAGCCATTCATTATGAATACAAATAGTGACAAGGGCACAACAGACGCAAGGCAATTTACATTGGAATGAACAGATTTGACAATGTACTTGGGATTCCAGATCTAGCCTACAAACTATACTACATCTTAAGGAATTACATCTATAGGATTAGTCTAGCTCATTTCAAAACAATCCCCTACTAAAAAAAAACTTAGCTCACCGATTAAGACTTGTTTGCACACAACCCCTTCACCCCCCAAAAAACACAGCCATCCCTGGTGGTAAGTATGTGACAGGGAAGCATCTTTCCTGTCCTCCTGAGATGCTGTGTGGAGCGTTGCCATAGTAATGCGCAGCAACGCTCCACACAAATCGCTTGCGAGAGGACAGCTTCTTAGATCCCTCCCCCTGCTTCCGTGTCCACACGACAGAAAGCAGAGTAGGTGCCTACTCTGCGTTAATTCAGACAGCCACGCATGCCATAGGTTCGCCATCACTGCCATAGGATGATGGTGGAGGCGGGGCGCCGACGTAGCACCGAAGGAGATCGTGTGAGTAAACAAAAGTTTTTTTTTTGCAATTTCCATGCTGGGGGTCGGGGAAGCAGAGGGAAAAACGTCGTAGTCCTTATACTATAGAATCCCTTTAATGCTTGCTGTATTTTCTAAAAGAAAATAAAAAAACAATGTTTTGCAGAATTCTGCACATTAACCAGGTCTACTCTACCCCACCTCTTCAATTCCAAAATATTTCTGTCTGTATGGATTACTGTACATGGCTCTCCTTCTGTCCTTGGCACAGTTTGATATATTATCAGTAAACATGAGGTAACTGTGAGTTATAGTTTAGATAACGTTCAAACAACAAATTCCAGACAGTGAGTGCTAGAAACATCCTTTTAAATATCAAGACTAAGTGATTGTGCTCAGCCAGAGTGATTCTGAGTCAGGCTCCAGTATAATAGACCACGGTGAGGTCTCCCAGCATGCCCCTCTGCCCGGTGATCTATGTGGGCTATGTCAGCTGCACAGTGCCAATCATAGTTTTAGGAGCTGCAGGACGAGAGAGAAATCTATGTCTCATGCTGCAATCCCATAGAGCACTCTGTACTGTGTGAGCTTGGAAGTCCCTCTGCTAATGTCAGTACTGATGTCAGCAGAGGGAACTCCTCAGAGATCGGATTAGAGGTAGCAGAATACAAATATGGGTGTTTACAGTAATGGAACACGTAGTCTGTGATATTCCCCACAATAAAACATGTATGAAAAACCACAAACAAATTTAATATTTTGACTAAGATTTGGGATAAAATGCTTAAATGAAGGGGGGCGAGGCCTGACCTGCAAGCAGAGCGGTCGCACGGTGGAAGAGCTCCCGCCAACCAAACCAATTCTAGGGGAATTACTCACAGTTCTCAAGCCTGCAATGATACCAGGGTACGCTACCCATGTTGGGGGCTACCTGGTGACTCACCCGATACCAAACTTGAGTAAGCCCAATAATCGTGCACACGAGGCAGCAGGCCTGCGGCGGATGGAGCAGTGGTTCGGAGATACCGAAACACTGAATACCCCCAGGACCGGTGGGAGTGATCCCGGTCCATGACACCCAGGCAGCGGTGCCACAAAGAAAGTGGACAGCGGAGCCCCACAAACAGCCCTTGGCTACACAGGCCTACAAAATGGCGGACACCACATGGGACCGCAAATACCATGCAGAGGCGTAGAAACTACAAATCAAGATCGACGCCTTTTGGGCAAAAATAATTAGCAGAGAGCGGCAGACCAAAGAAACAACGCACTCACCCGCCACAGCAGCACAGGCCCCCGCAATACAAAACCTAAAAGATGGCTCCAGAGGCAAAGACCCATACCACCTGCACATCAACAGGCAAGATGGAGCCGCGCAACGCATTCAACCCGACTGTACCTACAAGCTCTTAACAGAAACGGCACGAAGCCGAGAACCACAAAGCGACTAAACACAGACCAACATCCCTCATGGCTCCAAACTCTCCCGATGTCACGGAAGGGCCCAGAGCACCAGAGGGGGACTTCACTTGCCGGCAACATCAAGGCAGACCTCCACAGCGACGGGCGGACAGGCCTGCAACCAGAATCAGCAACGCTGCACCAACTCATGCCCCAGCAGGACGGCAAAGCATTCCTACTATCTTTCCCTGCATTGGGCATAGGTTGACAGCAAACACGCCTGCCGAGACTCCAAGAGATGCTGCTCATGTCACACTGCAGCCTCCTAACAAGAGACTTACCAATAACGTAGGACTCTAATATTGAACTCACTGCCTGCCCGATTTTAGCTAGACGATAACTCTTCACACACACGTACTGCCTCACTGCATGTATTACCCTTGACAGCAGGGTAAGCAGGCTCAGACAGCAGACTACTCACTCACACAACGGGGCCATGCTCGCCTGCCTGGTAATCTTCATACATACACGCGACTCACAATCATTACATAAGGGTGTACCTGACCTAAACGCACACGAATCACCTTTTAGCTCAAACATGTACACCTTACACAGCAACAACCGTTAAAGCTTCCATCAGTTAGTATTGTACCTTATCGTTATCAAGTGGTTCTTGAAATGTATATGTTCCAAAATACATTAATATAAAATTGTGCATGTTCCATCATATACCTCTATGTTATAATTAAGTTAAAAGCATTGAAGGAATGCCGTTGGGGTACCTTTATATGCGTTTGCTATATGTGCTGGCATTGCAAAATAAAGAATTTTTTTTAAAAATGCTTAAATGAAAAATGCTCTTAGTGAAAGCCTACGGGATGTACTTTCTACAAATATAAAACTTTTGCGTATCGGTTTTCAATTATGAGACTACTAAATAAAGTTGTAATCTCAGCATGCCAAATTTTGCAAACATTTGGCTGAAAAATCGTAATTCACTCCTTGCAATATTTGCTTTATAACTTCTAAACATTAAGTAAAATGAAAGACATATCAGGCATTTTAGTAATCAGGACTAATCAATAAACAGATTTAGATTTCTGCTTAGACACACTTGTGAAGAAAAACTTAATGTAAAATTAATGAGAAAAAAAGCTTTATTTTTTCAATATTTTATTTATATTTAATATTGTATTTTGCATACATATATGGTAACAAAAGACAGCCCTATTTCTCCTTCAAATAATTATATATAACAACATGTATAAGTGCACTGAAACAAGAAGGGTGGAATTGCGCCACATTTAATGCATGGTAAACGTTTCAAAAAGGACTTGTTCAAAAACACGTGGCATCTCAAAACAGCCTTGGTCCTTAACCCCTTAAGGACTGGACTGTTTTTGCGATGTTGTACATTTGCGACCAGGCCTCTTTTTACACTTTTGTGGTTAGCTGTAATTTTCCGCTCTCTCATTTACTGTTCCCATACAAATTATAATTTTTTTTCAGGACAAAAGGGGCTTTCTTTACATACCATTATTTATATAATCTCAAGTAATTTAAATTTTTTTTTAAATAAAATATGATGAAATTTTTTTTAAAAAAATACGTTTTTTGACTTTTACATAAAAAAATATTTTACTCATCTACAAAAGCAAATGAAAAAAAACTGCTAAATAGATTAAAAATGTTGTCCTGAGTTTAAAAATACCCAGTGTTTACATGCTTTTTTGCAAGTTATAGGACTATAGGTACAAGTAGGATATTGCGGTTTCAAAACATACATTTTTAAAATTTATCAATAGTGACATTGTAACACTATTATCTGTCATAAATCTCTAAATACCACCCCACATGTACATATTTTTTTTTAAAGTAGACAACCCAGGGTATTCAATATGGGGTATGTCCAGTCTTTTTTAGTAGCCACTTAGTTGAAAACACTGGCCAAAGTTAGCATTCATATTTGTTTGTGTGTGAAAAAAGGAAAAAACTAAATTGAACGCTAATTTTGGCCAGTGTTTGTGACTAAGTGGCGCATTTTTTATTTTTTTTTGTGGCTACTAAAAAAGACTGGACATACCACATTTGCAATACTTTGGGTTGTCTTCTTTTGCAAATGGTATGCCATCATGGGAGTAATTCTCATTCCTGGGCTACCATATGCTCTCAAAGGCAACGTAACCAACCTTGCCTTTTTCAATGTAAAAATATTTGACCCTGTAACTTTCAAAAGCACTATAAAACCTGTACATGGGGGGTTACTGTTATACTCAGGAGACTTTGCTGAACACAAACAGTGTTTCAAAACAGGAAAACGTATCACAACAATTATATCATCAGTAAAAGTGCTGTTTGTGTGTGAAAAATTCAAAAAAAGTCACTTTCACTGACAATATCATCGCTGTGATATGTTTTACTGTTTTGAATCACTAATATTTGTGTTCAGCGAAGTCTCCCGAGTAAAACAGTACCCCTCATGTACAGGTTTTATAGTGTCATAGAAAGTTACAGGGTAAAATATAGTGCTATCAAATTAAATTCTCTGGACCTTCGGCCTGGGTTGGCAGACAGGCCCTTTAAATTGCAATCAATAAAATTACTTAATTATGTAAAAATATTGCATAAATACGCACGTAGAATTTAAATATATATGCATATTTATATATTTGAAGTCTACGTGTATATTTATATAATTATTTATAGAATTTTGTATATAGACATTCGTATATTTCGTATTATTTTTATTTATTTATATATACACAATTTCATTCTAAGTGTATTTTGATATAAATATATATATTTTAACTTTTTTATTATTTTTACATGTTTTTATTTAATTTAAATTACTTATTTGTATTTTATAATAATATTTATATACAATATATATAGTTATTATATATTATATATACACATGTACATATTAATATAAAAATACACTTAGTATGACTATATATGATATAAAGACATTATATATACATATAATATATGACTATATATCATTTATATACACATATAATTATTTTTTTATTAACATTAACAGTTTTTTTTATTTTACACTTGCAGGGAGATTGCCTGTCAGACACCTATTGTGACCACGTGTTCGCTCTGAAGCTGTAAATCTACATGCTGTTTGCTTCAGAAAAACAAACAGTCTGCTGGCATCATCAGAAGTGGTAGCCTGATCCAATCACAGTGCTTCCCCATAGGATTGGCTGAGACTGACAAGGAGGCAGATCAGGGGCAGAGCCAGCATGATTTAAACAGCACTGGCCAATCAGCATCTCCTCACAGAGATGATTTGAATCAATGAATCTCTGTGAGGAAAGTTCAGTGTCTGCATGCAGAGGGAGGAGACACTGAATGTTTGGATGCATTTTAGGCAGCCATGACCCAGGAATGATCTCTAACAGCTATATGAGGAGTGGCCAGTGAAGTTATCACTAGGCTGTAATGTTTAACTACTAATAGAGAAACTGCAATGTTTACATTGCAGCGTTAAGACTCCCAGACAGCCACAAGAGGTGCTCCCTCAAGTCTTTTACCTCTGTGAAATTATGCTAGACATCTGTGCATCTGCATGTGTCAGTGCTTGTTTCTGCATGTAGCAGTCCAACTGCATGTGTTTCAGTGTTTGTATCTGTGCACCTGAGTCGGCATTTGCATCTGTGTCAGTGCTTGTATCTGCATGTTTCAACGTACATATCAATGTTTGTTTCTGTGTGTCTGTAACTGCATGTGTCTCAGTGTTTGTTTCTGTGTATCAGCATTTGTGTCAGTGTGTGCGTCTGTGTGTATCTGATTATATTTATATATGCCTAAGGCAGAGGAAAAGTAGGGGATCCTAGGGCAGAGAAAAACTTGTTAATTTGAAATAACATGAACTATATTACAAACATTTTGCGAATGAGGGGTACAATTTATTTTAATACCTACTGCCCACTTTAGTATCTTTGTTGATAGTAAAATTTCATTACCCACCAGTGCCACAGTAACTACTTTTACAGCACAAGTGTGATTTTATTTTTCTTAGATAAGGTTTTTTTTGTTTTGTTTTTTAATATGTACTTACATTTATAGAAACATAGAATGTGACGGCAGATAAGAACCATTCGGCCCATCTAGTCTGCCCAATTATGTATTTTTTTCCTTTCTACTTTTTTTAATGTGTCTGAGATGTGCAGTGTGTGTGTTTGTGGGTGAGGGGGCAGTGTGTGTGTGTGTGTGTGTGTGAAGGGTGGCAGTTTTTGTATGTGTGAGAGGGGTGCAAGGATCTAAGCTGTGTGCAGGTTTTCTCTTCCCTTCTTACCTTTTACCAGGGATAGGGGACATAATACAAGCCGTGGTGGTCTAGTGGTGGCATGTTCACCTTAGCCTACAACTCCTCCAGCTGCTGGCTGACTCTCCTGCGAGTAGAGCACTGTTTTGGAGTGTTGTCATGGTAACACGCAGCAACACTCCGACCAGCCTGCTCGAGGAAGGAACACAGAGCCTCCCAGGTCCTTCCCTCCCTCCGCTGGAACTAAGTGATCTCCTCACCAGACCGAGAGGGCTTACAGCAAGGCTGGCTCTGCATGGGCCGGCATGGGAGATGAAAGGATCTCGCTGCCGGCCTTGGTCCACAGCCATCGAGGCCCACTGGGTAGTTTCTTAAAAACCCACCACCGCCCACCTGAAATCCCAAACTGCCTACTAGTGAGCGAGCACATCATTAGACGTGTTGGCCCAAGCTCAGGGCGCTGAAACAGCACTGTTCGCTTAGTCTGCCCTTCGTTAGCCAACCTGCATTCACGCCAGGATGACTTTCCAATTCTTCAGGCAGACGTGCAGCCCTCACCCTTTGGGCAGTACCAGTGACACTTTAACTGTGACACTGCTGCCCCTCGCTGCTGGAGCCAGGCTTCAGTTTGATCGTCCAGAATTCACAGTGATCAGTAACATCCAACTGTGACCAAGGACTGTATTTTCTTAAAGGGGCACTATCAAAAACCATTGGAAGAAATGGAGAGCTTGACTAGAAGCCACATTGGCTGTACCCTCTATAGAGCTCAGGGGATGCCTTACTACTGATAAAGGCTACGGATGGCTGTAAGGGACATAGTGATCGCGGAGACCCGCCCATCATGGCCGCATTTTATCTGAACTCGGACTGAATGGCCCCGGACCTGCCAGCAATGGGCATCATGGCCAGCCAGGTACTCACAGCCGCCTCCGGGGTAACAGTCCGGACACCGAGCGCTGGCAGCAAGATCTAAAACCAACGGACTTCCCGCGCCAGCAGCAACCTGCACGGAGTCATGACGTCAGTGGAAACGCGACATGGAAAGGCGTAATGCTTCACGGGAAATGAAGTCCCACGGATCCGAACTGCTGGAAAGCTGCAGAAACTTCAGCTGGATTGCAAAGTCATAGAGCGACACAACACCGTAGTACAGCAAAGGGAGGCACTGAGGCAGACAGGCCAAGGATTCGTTAGGGCAAACTGCTAAAGATTCGAAGCGGCCATATTTGATTTGGGCAAATTGCCCTAATGGACATTATATGAAATCGTATGAAATCAATAATGGTGGCTGCTTTGAAATGTCAGCCTTGAAAAAATAATTGATTTCACAGCTGGAGCTGTGTTTGTTCCATGAGACATGGCTGCCCTTTTTAACCCTGCCCAAAATAATGTATTAGGGAACGATCCCCAACATATTAAGAGACACAGTAGTGCTATGCTCAGTGCAATATGACCCTTCAGAGAGCACCCCCTTTGGGTTGAACCAGTGAGGCAAATCGCATCACCAAATCGCTCCATTTTACCCCTCCAACCAGCTTCCCGCTTTACAGGACACTGAGATCAAAGATCGCAATCAACAGCCCATACATAGGCAGAGCGGCGCACCGAGCAACTGATCTCGCCTCCTGCTGGAACAAAAAGCTCTTTCAGAAGCCTCAAAGGTTTCAGTCGCTGTGAGCGTTGCCGTGGGTTCCCATGGCAATCTTCTCAGTAATGCCGGGTTTGTGGAAAAACACGAAGAGTGCACTCTGCCCACGGGACCACCAGAATACCTACTAAAAGGAATGACAGAATAAAATGCCCATAGATTTAAAGGATCACTATAGTGTCAGAGAAACAAACTCGTTTTCCTGACACTATGTCATCCTTGGGGGACCCTCACCCTTAAGGTCCCCCTCCCGTGGTGCTGAAGGGGTTATAACACAGTGATCCAGTCCTGGACTCCCTCGGCGCTGGTGACCTCTCGTCCCCCACCGATGTTAGCTCCCGAGTGGAGCCGAATGTGTGAGCGCGGCAAGAAGAGTTAAAACCTGAGGGACCGGCACCCAGACCACTTCATTGAGCTGAAGTGGTCTGGGTGACTATTGTGTTCCTTTAAAAGGGAAGTGGAATGCCGTAGACAGTAATGGAACAGAAGCAAGTTGTGACATGGAGTCAGAGCTGTTAGACATTCTCTCCAAATTCAGTGGCAGACACACAGTGGCTGGTGTCTATAATGCAGACCAGAGCCTTAAACAGCGTGGGAGTGGCGGTCCGCCAGATCAAAGCATCATTTAATTGGCGTACCGCCATGATAACTACAGCAGGGCTGATATTACCCCCCTCTTAGAACCGCCCACTAGGCGGAAACCACTAGGGCAATCAGAAAAGTGAGAATGGAAAACCCGGAGCAGACGGGGAGCATGGACATCATCAACTGCCACCCAGGTCATCTCTTCAGTACCATAACCCTTTTGGAAGGGTTAGACTGAACAATAGACTGAACCTCATATTCATCCTGCCCTTCCACTACAACAGAAGCAGGAGCGATAAGGGGTTTAGTGAACTTGTTACACGTGAGGGGCTTCAACAGTGAAACGTGAAAGGTACTGGTGGTACGCTATGCAGGGGGCAATTGCAACCTATATGTAATGGATCGCCTGTCACCCCGACTGGGTACCTTCGTTGAAGGATGCTCCTAGCGCTTCCTGAGGGCTCCACGCACTCTAGCACCAAGCACTCTAGACACCACAACCACCGCAGGCCTAACCTCTCTTCCTTCAGAGCGAAACAGGAACAAGCTCTTAAAAAAGCTTAGGAGTGATTATAGCAAGGGAATATGCAGAGCATAGCAATCCCTTGTAGTAGACTCCGCTAATAAGAGACAGGACTCTAAATTTAGGGTGAAGTAGAAATGTTTAATGGAAGCAAGCACTCACAATTTATACAATTCCTCAGGCCAGAGGCACACCCCCTGGACCTGATGGAACACTGGCACACAAAGGACACAAACCAATCAAAACAATACAACAATGTCTGACACACCCAGTCATTACAGCAAAATCCTCCCCTCTGCCTGTGATATAATTACGGAACACAATGGGCTAAAGTAATTATCACAGGCAGGAAAATACACAGTTTTACACAATATTCATAACTTTAAAAGCATACATAACATTCACATTTTCAGAATCAGCATACTCCAAATACAAACATATGTCAAAATCATACAAGTCCAGTGGTTCAAAAGTTAGTTGGAAGTCCCTTTTTGACCGACTGCAAGCATGGCTTGGGTGTGGTAAGCCAATTATATCCAGCATACAGAAAATATCTCTATTCACAACAACAGTAAAAACACATAAAAATACATAATTCCTATTATACTGAGCAGAACCCCCACATTCAACCTATCCCCAGATAGCTTGGATCTAAGCGCTCAATATATCTGAACAGCGCTCAGATCCCACGAACACAATAAAATCGCCATGGGGTTAAAGTTTAGCAAGGGCCATACACAGTCCAATACAAGTCCATAAGCCCCAAGACTGTTTTTAAAGTGCCCAATCTCACTGGGGCCATAGTCCCAAGGCACAAGGCTGGCAATTAGTGCCCTCCAAAAACTAGTGTCGATGTCCCTTTTGCCACAGTATACAAAATGGCATTAATGCGTCTCAGGATCTAGTAGGGGCCTATGAAACTAGGAGCAAACTTTTTGGATGGCACTTTCAAGTTGACTTTTTTTTTTTCACATCAGAAATTGGTATTTGTTATTGCGTATTTATCCTTAAACTTCTATGTCTGCAAAATCCAATACCAAATCCTCATTTGTTATTCATACCTTTGTCTTTTTCATTAATTTAATTTTGTTTAAGTTTAATTTGACAATTAAATACATAAACAAACAGACTTGGACTAGGAGAAAAAGTTATGGCTGTGGTAAGGCTCGGGGCAGGGGACGTCAACAGGACCAAATGTACTAAGAGGATATTGTATATTAAGAACTAGTACTTTTGGGCCAGGTCTAGTAAGGATATAGAAAACTACTATGCTGTTAGTCTTTCAATCCATCTGTCCCAGTAATTATATTGATGGTACATCAAAGGGGATCGTCTGGTGATAGCTCGCTCCATCTTACATTGTATAATAATTTTTGAATGAATCTTGGGCCAGCTAACCACCAAGGGAGATTTCCAGTTCCTGGCCATTGCTATTTTTACTGCCATTAAAATATGGAAAACAACTAGTCCAAGACTTCTATCATTTTCCTTCATGTCCATATGCAACAAAACCATGATTGGGGTCAGTTTTAACTTTTTTTCTAGTAAAGTTGACAAATACTGATTTGTTGCTTCCCAAAGATGTTGGATTATGGGGCAACCCCACCAAATGTGTTTAAAATCTGCTATTAGCCGCTCGATTCAGGAATACCTGACTAAATACCCGATACCGACCCTAGACGTAGAAGTCGCTGACCTGGTTGACGAACCCATAACCATTGAGGAATTAGCGCGAGCAGTCAAACTCACTAAACCGGGCAAAAGCCCGGGGCCGGACGGCTTACCGGTAAAATACTATAAGACTTACGCCGAGGATCTCTACCCACCCATGGTGGAAGCATTTAACGCGATACAAGAAGGAGACCACATCCCTACCCAAGCCCTGACAGCCCATATTACCATCATACCCAAGGACGGCAAAGACAGAGAGCATTGCGGGAATTACAGACCAATATCGCTAATCAACTGCGACATTAAGCTACTAGCCAAGATCCTGGCAGTGCGACTCACCAAACATATCCCGTCTCTGGTCCACCCCGACCAGGTGGGATTTGTGACAGGACGTGAGGCACGCGACAACACCATCAGAGCGCTCACACTTATGCACGGAGGCGGGGGCACGGACGGAGGCCTCCTCTTGTTGTCCACGGACGCAGAGAAGGCCTTCGATAGAGTGAGCTGGGACTACCTCTTCGAGACACTATCCCACATGGGGCTGGGTCCCAACATTCGACGTTGGATAGAGGCGCTATACCGAGCACCGACGGCCCAGGTATTAGTTAACGGGGCACTGACTGAGACCTTTACCATACACAACGGCACGCGACAGGGATGTCCCCTCTCGCCGCTACTGTTCGCTCTCGCCCTGGAACCATTCCTCACACACATCCGCCACAATCCAGACATAACGGGCCGGACGACAGGCCAAATACACCACAAGGTAGCGGCGTACGCGGATGACTTACTTTTCGTGGTGACCAACCCCGAGATCACCCTCCCAAACATCCAGAAAGACCTGCGGACATTTGGCGCTATATCTAACCTTAAAATTAACTACGGCAAATCCTACATCCTTAATGTTAGCGTCCCCGCCACACGCGCGGACCCACTACGACGCAGCTTCCCCTTTCAATGGGCCGAACAAAAAATTAGATACTTAGGGGTATGGCTGTCCAAGCAGAGCAGAGACCTGTATAGGGACAACTTCGCCTCTATACTACACACGTTCCAACGAGACTTGAGGGAATGGTCCTACCCGCACATATCGTGGCTCGGGAGAGTGCAGGTCATAAAAATGAACTTCCTTCCGCGCCTCTTATACCTCTTCCAGGCCATCCCCACTGTCATACCAGGCCCCTTCTTTAACACACTCAGAAAAGAAATGATAAAATACGTATGGAACGGGAGGAGGCCCAGAGTGAAATTTTCCACACTGACACGTCCTAAAGACAAAGGGGGACTAGCCCTTCCAGACTTCCACCAGTACTACATAGCCACACACCTGCAGAGAATCATGGAGTGGTCTAAAGACGGAGTTCACAAACTATGGAAGACAGTGGAAGAGGCAGAAGCAGGCAGACCGATCTCGGGGCTTCCCTGGGGCCGAGACACAACCGATAGAGGTGACATGTCCATATACACGAGACACACTATGAGAGTTTGGAGGAAGGCCGCAAAGAAAGGGAATATGGCACCGTACCCCTCCCCCCTCTTGCCCCTGACACACAACGAGGACTTCCCGCCGGGTCTAGACCCTGGAACCCTCAAACACATCTTCCCAGACAGTACCCCACGCCTACACCACTTCCTTCAAGGTGGGAAATGTAAAACACTAACGGACTTGATGGGAGAGACGCCCCCGACCTTTATGCACCGCTTCCGACATGCCCAACTGACCAATTACATCCACTCCCTACCGCAGGGACCAGCACTGGCCAGAGACCAGACCACGATAGAAGTGGTCAGCTCACACCCAGACCCGCTCCCGCATGGAGTGTCCTTCTTATATTCCATGCTCCAATCAGAAACCCCGTCCGAGACACCACTATTCATGGGAAAATGGGAAACAGCCCTGGGTAACACACTAACGGAAGCAGAATGGGAAACCATCTGCTACCTTACACACCACTGTTCCACTCACAGCAAAACACAGGAAACGGCCTACAAGCTTCTAACACATTGGTATAGGACACCACATCTCCTTCATCACGTAAACCCAGACCACTCCAGACTCTGCTGGAGATGTGAAAGAGAGGTGGGCACCACAAAACACATCTGGTGGGATTGCGCGTTGATCCAACCATACTGGAAGAGGATACACAAAATGCTAGAGAAGTTCGCGGATGCGCCCCCCCCCCTGGAACCGGCAGCGATGCTCCTACACCACACAACAGTTCCCCGATCCAAATACAAAAAATCCATGACCATTAGAATACTTAACGTGGCCAAACGAGTGCTCCCCCAATTCTGGAAACAAACAGTTACAACTCCACTTTCGACCTGGTTTAGCCAAATGGAAGAGCTAAGGTCAATAGAGGAACTGACCATGACGGCCAACACTACACCCACTACCTACATGAGCATCTGGACGCACTGGATTCTAGAGACGGCAAAAGAAGAGTTCCAATTAGAACTCAGGCCTAACACTAACGGGAATCACGACACAGACAGATAGTACTCAGAACACACACCACAGACGACGCTAGATGGACGACAGACGAACTGGACGGAACTACCCCCCCCCCTCCTTCCTTTCTTCCCACCCAGACACATTCCCCCCCTCTTGCCCCCTGCGAAATACCAGAGCATCATCATTGACTGAATCATCCCCACCGCACCCATAGCGACAAGGGAAAACATATTTGGGAACGATCAACGAACACGAACTGGTACTTACATCCAGACCGGCCCGGGAAGACACCCCAAAGCCAAAACATGCGAACACCTGAAGGAACCCTGGACAGGCCCAGCATTGACACGGCTAATGCAGTATCCACACGCCCAAGGTAAGGGTACCCTTTACCCGCAATACCACCATTCCCCTGGTTAAACACGGGAAACACCGATAGTAATAACGGGGGTAAACACAAGCCCACCACGGTCGATGACACATAGCTAAGGACACAGGGCCCGATGAGACGCCGTGGACAGGGACCATAGGGGTGGCCTACAAACACTGACACCTAATCAAAGACTGATTAATCTGGTTCAAGGACGATTACAAAGCATTATTTTCACTCAGTTCATGAAAACGTTACTTAATTTATAGTCCCAAACAAATGTAAATACCAGAAAATGGGGACCTGCGAGTCCTTCTGTGATGGGGCCTGCGAGCCTAATTTGTTACCTTTTATAATAACATGCAATGGAGACCTGCGCGTCTCACCGCAAATTTAAATACACAAAATGAATAAAAATCATATTCACAAAAAAAAATCTGCTATTAGTTCGGGGCATCTCCAACGTGTGGTGCAAGCTGTAGGATACATTTTTGCAATTTTCCGCGGGGTTCTGTACCATCTATTCAATATCTTATAATGGGCTTCATTCATATTTAAGCAATGGCAAGTTTTGTACCATGTCGTAAGAGAACTGTTCCATTCTTTCATGCTTATGTTTATATTCAAATCATAATTCCCTTTTGCAATTGCCAGGAGTTGGCTTTATGTGGCTTTATGTGCTAGATCAATTAGTAACCCTGACATTACGACATGGCCATTGAAATGTAGAATTGTGTCAGCACATAGCAGCTTGTGAGAGAAAGGTAGAGGAGAATGATCACCATATGGATCAATTTGCCCAGTCCTTCAGTAAGCTTCTTACTCGAACAGCGCATCTGCAACCTGCGGCTTCTCCAACTGTGTCACCTCCGCCTAATGTACCTCCACCTATAGTACATAAGGCACCTACTATCTCCCCTCCCCACATTTTGAGGGTAATATTCAAGAATGCCGGGGATTCCTAAATCAAATTGACTACCATTTTGAGACCTCACTGGGATCTTTTCCCTCGGATAGAGCTAAAATTGGTTACCTGATGAACCAACTTAAAGGTAAAACTTTAGTTTAGGCCAATTCGTTATGGGAGAGTAATAGGAGCATTGCACACAATTACCAGGAATTCCTTACGGAATTTAAACTAACGTTTGAACCATTAGGCAGGGAGGATGACGCTTCCACTGCCTTAATGCATATCAAACAAGGGAACCGCTCTATCTCAGATTATGCCATAGAATTTTGTACCTGGGCTTCTGAGGTAGATTGGACAAACAGCGGATTAATCGCTGCATTTAAGAAAGGATATTCTGAGACTATTTTGGATGAAATTGCTGCCAAAGACCTACCAAAGAAACTTAATGGATTTATCACATTTGTCATGCAAATTGATGATAGATTGAGAACCAGAGAAGCTATCAGAAACAAGAACAGACGTATGACTATGCCTTTAGCACCCTGTTTTTCCAGACCTATTGTCCCTGACCTTCCGGTACAGTCCGAACCCGAACCCGAACCCATGCATTTGGGGGTCACTACACTGTCGGAGGCAGAAAGACAGTGTAGGAGAAAAGAGGGCCTATGTCTTTACTGCGGTAGAAGAGGACATATGAGGAGTGCTTGTCCCATACTCCTGGAAAACTACCGCACCTAAGAACCTTAAGGGGACAGGTCTTAGGTGTAATGGATACGTCCTTTGGGAATAACAAAAATAGGTTTCTCCTTGATATTACGATCATATATAACAAAAATAACTTTTCATGCAAGGCCCTGATGGACTCAGGCGCAGCAGGAAATGTCATTGATGTTCGTTTTATAAAAGGTAATACTATACCTATCAAGGAGAGACTATCACCTCTGGCCGTTGAGGCTATTGATGGGAGACCACTCTCTCAACCCTTACCCACGAAACCTTCCCCATTAACATGTCCATTGGTGCCTTACATAAGGAAGACATAACATTCCAAGTTATTGCGTCTCTTTCTTGCCCTATCATATTCGGATTTCCTTGGCTCATTAAGCACAATCCTCATATTGACTGAGCTAATGGGGAAATATTGGAATGGGGCAAGGATTGTACTGAGAGGTGTATGTTAGACATTACCAAGAGAGTGGGCACCATTAAATTACCCACTACTACACCTCATACCCTCAAAGTTCCCATACAATACCGGGAGATTAAGGAGGTATTCAGCAAAACTCAGACCAATATTCTACTGTAACGGCTACCCAGTTAGTTAGAGGGTTATCAGCCGTTGGAGATGTCCTTTTTCCCCGGCAAGTCGCTGTGTAGTGGTGGAGTTGCTTATTCCCATTCACTGGATCCAAGGCAAGAGCTAGGTGATTAAAAGAGCTAGGTGATTAAGCTGCATATCCCCTTTCAAGAACGAGACAAGGCTACGTTTTGAAGGGTCAAGAAGAACTGAATTTTAATGGCAGGTACTCTCCTTTTATGTGATGCTGCCCATGCAAGGGAGACACCCACATAATTAACACAATAACCAATAAAACATAAGGTACATCCCACACATCTCCTCCCCTCAGATAAGCTTGTAACACAATTAACAAAGTTAAATTTTTCCCCAAGTTTTGGATGTACCCCAGTCTGGAGGTTTCAGCGGTGTTCGCCTACTCGAGTGTCCGATTTTAGTTCCAGACACTCAACAGCAAAACACTGCTGTTTGGGAGTTAAGATGGCCGCGGCCACGTGTAAAAAGTACCGAAATTGTGGCCACCCAGGGACTTCAATAAAGCGGTCGTGTGTTTGCAATTAAACATGGATTCGCCGATCAGGGAGGTAAATTGCAGCACAATTATGTATCAGGGGGGTCCGGTGTTCGGTAGTTTGCATTCGTATGATGGTGCCCCAATAGCACGAATGCTTTAAAAGTCCTGAAAAGCTTTGTAGAAATCCTCCCGAAAGTAACTAAAAAAAACCTCCAGCTTGTAAGCGGCTTGATGTCCTCTAAATCAGGAAAATATATATACTTTTAATCCGAGGTCTCTGTTCCCGTATATGTCCCTGGCTAGTTATTAAAGGGCCGGTAACAGGGAACATTCCCAGGCACATGGCAGGGTTTTGTTACATCTACCTCCTCACAGACCATATGACTGTTCCATAAATCTAGTACCCGGCGCTATGCCTCCTAAGGGAGCAGTAGAATAATGGAGGAGTATATCAAAGACTCCGTAAGTAAGGGCCATATACGCAAATCATCCTCGCCTGCTGGTGGTTGATTCTTTTTTGGGTCTAAAAAAGATGGTGAGTTACGTCCGTGCATTGACTACAGGGCATTGAAAAAAATCACCATTAAAAATGCCTACCACATTCCCCTCATTACATAATTGTTTGACAGACTCCAGGGTACCAAAGTCTTTACTAAACTTGACCTTACGAGTGCATACAATTTAGTGAGGCTTAAGGAAAACCATGAGTGGAAAATGGCATTTAATACCAGAAGTGATGACCCCGCTTTAGATGACCGTCTTGCTTCCATTCGTGATACTTGGGTCAAAGTTCACTCCGCTCTGGGAACTGCGGCTGACTGTTTCAAATGTTATGCTGATGTGGATTTGCCCAAACAAGGGCCCTGTCAGTAAGCAATGTGATAATGAAGCTTATTTTTGCTCTATTAGTGAGGTAAGCTCTGGAGCAAAGTTCAGTCAAGATGCTGACCTGATTCAAAAACTCTACATTTAGAGTGGTCCCCGCTATAGCATAAGGAATAGGTAGGATTATTGTTACTGCTGTGGGAGGAGGATTCTGCACCAGCAGGCACAGGACTGGGATTGTCCCTCAGCCGATCTGGTTATCAGGGTTTGCAAGGCCTGTGCGAATTGATCCATATGGTGATCATCAAGACCATCAAGCCTTGCATCATGAGCCAGTACCTGGAGATTAACATCTGGAGGGTCCATTGGCCCTGTTATAATGTAATGTTATTACCCAACACGCAGAATGAAAATCCACCAGAAGAAATAGAGACAGAAAAAGGGTCCCTAAACTGGTCATTAGAATGGTCGGATAGAATAAATACAAGGAACGTCAGAACAAGCCAAGGTCAAGGGAAGCCAGAAATACACAAATATGAGAGACCAGGGGAGCCATAAAACAGAGTATTTAAGAGCAAGCCAGGTCAATACCAACATACACAAAACAGACAAAAGAACGCGTTATTGGGACACTAGAAAACTCTATGAATCACATTGTTCACTATGCATTGCGCAGATCGGGATTTTATATCTTTGGGGGCGTGGTTAGCATAACCACGCCACCAAAAGGTGAGAGTGTGTTGAGCTCTATCATACATACACTCACTCACTGACAGACACACACACACTGACAGTCAAACACACACTCACTGACAGGCACACACACAGGCAGACACTCACTGACATACATACGATCACTCATTGACAGACACACACACACAAACACACTCACTGACACTCAGACATCCTACCTCCCTGGGGTCCAGTGTGGGGCAGCTCCTTACTCCTCCAGCGCGATGTTTAGTATGCCGGGGCCAGAATGATGTAATTTTACGACTCCCGGCATCACAGAGGGTGCGTGAGGAACGAGTGGGGAGCTGCAAGAAGAGCCTCCCTCGCCGCCCACACTCCTCTCCTCCGACATTCATTGGCAGAGCAGGCACCTGCCATACCAATTAAAGGACAGCTTCGGGGGCGCACTGAGATGGCCAAATGGCCAGGGCTCCTCTGTGACAGGGCTCCTTTTGTGCCTGGAGGATTAGCCCGGCGCTGAGGGGATTGGTGGCTCTAGAGCCACTCGCCCAGCGCTGTGGCCCAGGACAGGGGGAGCCCACCAGGAAATATCCTGGTGGGAGACCTAGCAGGGGGGCGCCCTAGGCGAATGCCTAGTTCGCCTAACGGTGGTGCCTGCCCTGTAAAAGAAACAGACAGGGGAAGAGGTAAAAGAGACAGACAGTTGCTTGGGGGGAGAGACACCCAGAGCGGCATGGGACACACACAAAGAGACACAGAGGGAAAGGGGTAAAAAAAGACAGACAGGTGCTTGGGGGGGAAAGACACCCAGAGTATGGGGACACAGAGACACATAATGAGGGTTTGGGAAGGGGAGAAAGAAACACACAAAAAGACTGGCGAAAGAAAGAGACACACAAAGAGACTGGGGGAGAAAAAGACAAAAAGTGGCTAGGGTAGAAAGAGACACACAAAAGGACTGGGGTAGAAAGAGACATCCAAAGGGGCTGGATAGAAGTAAGCAACAAAAAAGGGTGGTGCGTAAAAGCCAGAGGGGGATAAGATATACTAAAGAGAAGTTTAAGACTAAAAGGGGAAACACAAAAGAAGTAAGACATTTCAGAGGAGAGATTAAGGATTAAGATACATTTTTGGGGGAACAGGAAAGGGGGGCAAAAGGCATCTTCGCCTGTGTAGCCTTGCACTTGCCCTTGGTGGTGGTGGTTGTGAAGGAGGTCCAACCTTACTGCAAACCATACTTGAGCATTGTCGGATGATTGGGCATTTCCACTGTAGTTTTGAAGGCTAGCTTACTCTTGAGGCAGGAGAAAGAGAAGACAGGGCATCCCACACATCTATAAAGATATATTAACACATGATGGAACTCCACTTTAGACAAGGTGGAAACATTTTTGGAACAGCAGAGGGCAATCCATAGACTCCACCACTCCATTTATGCTGATTCCCGCTGGGTTATGAGGATAAGCAATAATAGGACAGCTAGTGTCAGTTCTTATTGCATTAAGTGACATAAACTTTAACCACAAAGTGCTAGTTTGAGACAGGTTATATCCTTGATTACACACCTCATTCAATTGTCACTGATTTTTTACTTTCATTTTGGGGTAAATCCCCTATTTTGAATTTAGGGTAGGAAGTTAACTTATTTATTATGTGTAGACCACACTTGGAATGGGACAAGGGACACTCATATTGTGCTAGTGGCTCTAAAGATATACCAGGACACTGCTAGACATAGCTTAACCACAAGGCAGCCTAAGGTGGGTGCCTAGGGTTGGTGCAGGGCATGATCTCATTCACCATTCCTATAGTAAGTTTGAAGGAAAGGCCACAAGTAGGCAACTTGCTTGGGTAATGTGGGATCCAAAACTTGCTTGGGTAATGTGGGATCCTAATCATTATGTCTAAGGAAACTCTGCCAGCCCTGCAGAGCTGTCCTCAATGTCCAATATTAATTTTGCAGAATAAAGTGTCCAAATCAGAGAAAGACGTTCAGGCTCTGGCATGTTCCACCATTTCAAGATTGCTGTTCCAGGAGTCTAGCATCACCTAAAGTCCTCTTTCTTCAGATATTATAATGAGGAGATCTTACTTTATCATATTTCTATGTTCTTTTACATCTACCTGTATCAATTAAGCTACAACACTTCACCACTACCACTTCTCAACACACTTCCTCAAAATGTATCTTTTTAAGGGATTTATACAAACAATTACCATATCCAAGTTATTATTATCTTCCAGTCTCAAAATAAACCTAGATAAAGGCAGATTAGATTTGAAGATTTTTTTTTAAAATCTACATTGGTTCAATGTAGTTCTTCCATTAACCACCAGAGGGCGTGGCTTACTATTTTTCAAAGAAATTACATTTTTGATGAGCTTGCACAAACCAGATCGATTCACAGATGATACAAAAACACTCGTCAAAATCCTGCAGTCCAGCAACTATCGCCCACAGCTTAAATCCTTCTGCAATATACTCTGGGCCTCTACATATGTTTTCTGCTTATATATCAAGCAATATCTGTATTGCCTTCTGATGACTTGCACTTACTTTGAATATTGGACTGAGCTATTCTTCCACTTGCACTTCCACTTGCCTTGCTGTGTTTACCAGAATTCACTAGGTTGCTGTTAACTTTTGAGCCTTGTATGTCTCCTGGAATTTGATTAATTGTACTCCAACACCCAATATATTTCTATTGACATTGTTTGAAGTACATCAGCCACTAAAAAAGGCCTCTCTTTTGTGCACTGCAACATCCGTAGCTTGCTCCCTAAACTGGATGCACTGCAAGCCTGGTGTTCCCATTACAAACCAAAAATCATTGTGCTCTCAGATGAATGGTTAACAACTAAAATACCAGACTCTGCCATTGTAATACAGGGTTATTCATGGTTTAGAAATGACAGAGCAAAGAGAGGAGGAGGCATTGCTATTTATGTTGACAAGTCCATAAAATTTACTCCTTTAAAAAACTATAACTCCCCTTCTGCCTTTGATTTCCTTTCTGGCACAATTGAGATGCCTTTCAGTAAAACTATCATTGTTGCTGGAATCTACTGCCCACCTAGCTCTCCGGTGCATTCCCTTTCTAACATAGCCAAACTACTACTTAGTGAAACTGTAGCTCAAAACCAAAAAAGTGAACTGTTGGTTTATGGAGATTTTAATATTGATTGGTTGAATCCGAAAAATAATAAATCATGTTCGCTGTTAAAGACTTTGCAGCTAACACAATTAATTTCCTCCCCAACTAATATTAACCCCTTAAGGACTGGACTGTTTTTGCGATGTTGTACATTTGCGACCAGGAATATTTTTACACTTTTGTGGTGTTTGTGTTTGGCTGTAATTTTCCGCTTTCTCATTTACTGTTCCCATACAAATTATATATTGTTTTTTTCAGGACAAAAGGGGCTTTCTTTACATACCATTATTTATATAATCTCATGTATTTTAATTTAAAAAAAATAAAAAAATATGATGAAAAATTGAAAAAATACATGTTTTTTGACTTTTACTTGAAAAATCTTTTACTCATCTACAAAAGCGAATGAAAAAAACTGCTAAATAGATTCAAAATTTTGTCCTGAGTTTAAAAATACCCCGTGTTTACATGCTTTTTTGCATGTTATAGGGCTATAGGTACAAGTAGGATATTGCGGTTTCAAAACATACATTTTAAAAATTTATCAATAGTGACATTGTAACACTATTATCTGTCATAAATCTCTGAATAACACCCACATGTACATATTTTTTTTAAAGTAGACAACCCAGGGTATTCAATATGGGGTATGTCCAGTCTTTTTTAGTAGCCACTTAGTCGAAAACACTGGCCAAAGTAAGCATTCATATTTGTTTGTGTGTGAAAAAAGTAAAAAAACTAAATTGAACGCTAATTTTGGCCAGTGTTTGTGACCAAGTGGTTACTAAAAAAGACTGGACATACCCCATTTGCAATACCTTGGGTTGTCTTCTTTTGCAAATGGTATGCCATCATGGGGGTAATTCTCATTCCTGGGCTACCATACGCTCTCAAAGGCAACGTAACCAACCTGGCCATTTTCAATGTAAAATATTTGACCCATATATTTGACCTTGTAACTTTCAAAAATGCTATAAAACCTGTACATGGGGGGTACTGTTTTACTCGGGAGACATCGCTGAACACAAATATTAGTGTTTAAAACTGGAAAACGTATCACAACAATTATATCATCAGTAAAAGTGCTGTTTGTGTGTGAAAAATGCAAAAAAAGTAACTTTCACTGACAATATCATCACTGTGATATGTTTTACTGTTGTGAATCACTAATATTTGTGTTCAGCGAAGTCTCCCGAGTAAAACAGTACCCCCCATGTACAGGTTTTAGGGTGTCGTAGAACGTTACAGGGTAAAATACAGTGCTAGCAAATTAAATTCTCTGGAATTTCGGCCTGGGTTGGCAGGCAGGTCCCTCAAATTGCAATCAATAAAATTACTGAATTATGTAAAAATATTACATAAATACGCACGTAGAATTTAAATATATATGCATATTTATATATTTGAAGTCTACGTGTATATTTATATAATTATTTATGTAATTTTGTATATGGACGTATGTATATTTCTTATTATTTTTATTTATTTTTATATACATAGATATATATACAAATTCATTCTAAGTGTATTTTGATATAAATATATATATATTAATTTTAAAATACAGTTAGAATAAAATTTCATATAGCTATATAATTTTTTTTAAATTTTTTATTATTATTTAAAAAAAATTTATTTAATTTAAATTACTTATTATTTATATTTTATAATAATATATATACAATATATATAGTTATTATATATATTATATATATACGTGTGTAATTTAATTATAAGTGTATTTTTATATTAATATAAGTACATATTAATATAAAAATACACTTAGTATGACATTATATATATATGATATATAGACATATATTATATAGATATAATATATGTCTATTTGTGGTCAGGGAAGAAGGCCGTATTTATGTGGACCTATACCTCTAATCATTAGTCTAATATACTAAGTCGGTTGTAGTGTGCCGAAACCGACGAACGGGTCAGCCTGTAAATAAAGAGGGCCAACCAATTAATTGATTCCTTTTGTGGAGTGGTGGGTGGGGCAACAGGAAGTGACCAAGCACTGTCAGCAAGGTATGGAGGTAAGTAGTGGGTTTATATAGGCCGGTTGCAACCCCTCCCACAACTCCAGGCTCCGCCTTCCCATTTGTGGTCAGGGAAGAAGGCCGTATTTATGTGGACCTATACCTCTAATCATTAGTCTAATATACTAAGTCGGTTGTAGTGTGCCGAAACCGACGAACGGGTCAGCCTGTAAATAAAGAGGGCAAAAGAGAAGTATCAGTTCCACACTTAATACGTATACACATACATTATTACCCGAGCTTCCCTACTTTGCCAATTGTTTAAAAGCTTGTCTCAACTCTTTCTCAGGTTGAGGTATGTAACGGTAATATGAACTGGTACGTTTTGGCTGGAGGTTGATGTTGCCGCTCCGATACGAAAGGAGTGGCCTGTATATGCCGTGGGATCGTACCCGATTCTTGTACATAATAATCTCACGTATTTGACGAATTTTGATGTAGTCAGGGGTTGACTGTGTATTGTGAGGAGAGGAGCTTGTTTGGGTTGATAAGCCATACCTGCCATGTATTTGTCGAATAGTTGTACGGGGCACCAATGATTGCCGGTTGGGTAAAATTGAATGTCAAGGTGCGGACCCATTTGATTCGTTTGAATGTCTTAATGTCAATGTGTAGTGATCACCTATTATGTTTATGTGTGACACACACAGTATATTTCCCTTATTGTTGATGTTGCTTAAGGTGAGTTCGTTGGGACGCATAAAATGCCAGGTATATGGCTGTTTTGAGTGTGTTATTGGTGTGATTATCAAAGGGTTTGGTATCTAACATGTCAGACAATGCCCTGAATTTCTCTGCGTCAATTGGTAGCCACCTAGTAGGTTTTAGGTTTTCTAGGCGTTGGATGCCTTTTAGCATATTTTAATGGGGTGTGCTGATAGGAAGTTTTTTTATACTGGAATATGTGTTGCTTACATGATGCTGTATTCCAGTTAAATAGAGTTTTATGGTGTTGTGTGCCAGTTTCAAGTTGAGATGGCAAAAAGAGGTGAAAGCCACCATAGTATCTAACCTATAAGGATTCGTAATGATGTATTCTGAAACAAATTTGTTGAATAACATTAAGGCTCGGTTGTACATGCGTCTGGTGTTTGGGGAAAGTGAGGCCTGTGCTAGTGCCCTCCCGTGCTCCATGAGTAATTTTAGTCCAGGATGAGGTCTCTGAACAGCGGCGCCTTTCTTGGCTGTTCCTCTGCTGTTGGGTGTAGCTGTCTGAAAACCTGTAATTTTGAACAGGATAGTGTGTCAGCTGCTGAATTATGGTGACCTGGCACGTGTATGCAAGTCAGGAAAAAAAAAAAAATTTTGTGTGGCTGCCAACCATGTGAGTCTCCTGACCAGGTTCATGATGGTTAGTGAAGAAGACCTGCCTTTGTTCAGAATCTCGCAAGCCGCCATGTGGTCAGAGTAGCATTTGACAGCTTTGCCTCCCCATAAGTGGCCCCAGACTTTAGCTGCTGCCACTATGGGGTAGATCTCAAACAGTGCCGAAGTCTTTGTGAAAGTGGGTAATCCTAGTGCTTTGCTAGGCCAAGCGTCCCTCAACCACCTGTCTTCGAAGATGGCTGTGAAACCTGCGTAACCTGCAGCATCCGTCCATAACACAGGGGAGTTTAATGTCAACGGTGGTATGAACAAGTTTCTCCCATTCCAGTCCGACAGGAAATGGTACCACCTGGTCAGATGCGCCCTAGCCTGAATGTTCAGTGTAACCCTGCTGTTGTTGTTGGGTAAGTTGGGTAACAAACCGAGTAGACGTGAGATGAAAGCTCGTCTCATGGCAAAGTTGTTGATGATATGCCATGTGCTTAGTTGTCTGAGTAACAATGGATTGATGACCCTGACCATGATTTACCCCATTCCACAGGAGCTGCTTTTAGTGGGGAAAGAATTGCCTATTTTTATGCCATGTAAGTGCCAGTGTGTAGGGTAGATGGTAGCCATTTACTGTGTTGATGATATTGGTCTTACTTAACCAAGCTTCAACCCATGCTTGAGTGATAGCTGTAAAGGTAGATCAATGGTGTGTATAGTAAGGAAACTCTTCGGAGGGTATGAGGGAGTTGAGACTTGGGGTAGCGAAGGTGTGTGGTGCCAATAAGTCTATGGTTAGTCTTTGTTTAAGGGAAGATTCCCTTGTGACAATACCAATGTGTTTGTGTTTGGCGCCATGCTGTAAATGGTGGAGATTGGAAAACCCAAGTAAAAACCCCTCTGTTATTCTTGGCTATGAGTGTGTTTACAGCCGATGGTTCTGTGTGCTGACTGTAAGTGAGGACATGCTATATTCCTTGAAGGTGTATGTATGATACCTGTATGGGAGCCCTTTGAAGCTCCGGAGCTTTAGTAAATCTACTACAAGTCTGGAAGGGTGATGAGTTAGTAGTGTTGAAAATGGATTGGTGTGTACAGATGGTGAGTACGTTATTTGTAAGTTGTATTGGGACACATGGTTTGTCATGTGCCCTGAATGATTTGAACGTATATGCAACATTCTATATGCAATGCAACGACTCATACCAATTGTCTCTGGTAGTTCAGAGGTGCTGGTACCTGGAGCCTGAGAGTGCTCGTCCATTTGTTTGGGAGAAAATCCCTTCTGTATGG